CATGAATCTTGACCTTTCTAGGGCAGCTGCTTGCCTTTGGACTTTGCTTCTTCCTGACACACTTTCCTCTGAGCTGCTTATCCACACCTTTACTTTCCTCTTGATTATTCTCACTCTCATCCTCTGAATTGCTCTCATCCTCCTCCTCCTCCTCCTCTTCTTCACTCACATCCTCATCTGATTCTGCAGGAGGTGCTTCAGCATTGCAACTTCCAAGACATTGATACTCAACACGGAAAACAGGTCGAGATTTATCCTTGTACTTTGATGGAACTTTGCGATCCTGAGTTGCCCATTCAAGAAGAAAGGAGCGAGCACGTATGTCCTTAGGCCGATCACAAGGATGACCAAAGAACTGCATAGAGATGAGACCACTGGAGATCTTGTACTCCTGAGGTGAGTAGTCATTCTCCTGTAAAAAGCAAGAAAAAATCAGTAAAAGTATCATAATAATATAAAACATAAAGAATCACAAAATCCTGGAACAGCCTGTACACATTTGCTGTAGGTGTTGTTCCAAGACATGTCCATCCATCCTTCTCTAACCGGGTGAGCCTATTCAGTGGCCTCATATCTGGTGACTCTGTGGTTCCGTGACGTGGCTGTTTCTTTGGTATATGAGACACTTCAATCTGCCAGATAGGTATTTGCATGCTGAACCGGACAGCCTGCGCAGTACGTGGAGTGTACTCGTTAGCATTTGGATCCTTCTTGTTGGCCTTCTGGAGAGGTGTGAGAGGCTGAAGAAATTGGGAAGACATGACAGTATCTTGATCAGGAAGTGGATCAGTTCTGATTGCCTGGCCCTTCTTTGATGGACGGCCTGGCTTCTTGCGGGTTGGCTATATGGATTTATCAGAGAAAGATTCAAGGATCATAAACCATACCTGTTGAGAGGAGGACCAGGTTTCTTAGCTTTAATGTTGTTGTCAGAAAGGAAGTCGTCAGAATCGTTATCCTGATAGTGTATTTTCTAGTGGAAATGAGTTAGATCTATGATGTATCAAGAAGGGAATCTACTTCTAACCTTCTTAGAACATCTAGAGCTCTTAGCATCATCTTGATTACTGGCTTTGATCTTAGGTGGACTGGCATCTTCAGACATTGATGTGGAAAGCTATGTTATTGGTTAATGTAGATCTAAGACAAAAGATATCAAATTATCACACTTACTGCTCTCTTCTTTGGGTTCTTCTTAGTTCTACCCATATTGAAGGCCAGAGATGGTGGTGGTAGAGGATCAAGGTAGCACAAGATCACAGCTGTGTGCAGTTGATCAGAGACATCCCAATTAGGAAATTGAAAAAAGCAGGGTTGGATCAGTACTTTTTATGAGAATAATAAGGGTTGGATCAGTACTTTTTATGAGGATAATGGGGGTTGGATCAGTACTTTCTCTTAGAGAATAATAGGGGTTGGATCAGTACTTTCTTTTAGAGAATAATAGGGGTTGGATCAGTACTTTCTCTTAGAGAATAATGGGGGTTGGATCAGTACTTTCTCTTAGAGAATAATGGGGGTTGGATCAGTACTTTCTTTTAGAAAATAATGGGGGTTGGATCAGTACTTTCTTTTAGAGGATAATGAGGGTTGGGTCAGTACTTTTCTAGCAGAATAATGAGGGTTGGATCAGTACATATTCTTAATCATAATGGGGGTTGATCCAGTACTTTGTTACACTCTGAAATAAGGGTTGGATCACAAGTTGAAAAAAGGTTGTATCAGTACTTTTAAAATGCTAGAATTGAACTTGAAAAGCAGGGTTGCTTCAGTACATCAAGAACCTGGGTTGGATTTGTAGTTTGGTATAGGGTTGGATCAGTACTTCATATTTAGTTACATCAGTAGTTCAATTTCTGGGTTGATTCAGTAGTTACAAAAGCCGGGTTGATTCAAAGACTGCAGGGGGTAGAAACATATTTTGGTACTCAGAATGTAGTATTGGCGTGCGCGGACAATCGTCCACGGCCAAATCGAATATCCGTTCCATAGAGGCCAGGGAGGCTGATCCTTGCGGGACCGCGACTTCAAGGGCTCTGATCCACCGCTGATATACAGACAGCCTGTCGATGGCATCTTTCCATGAAATTCTTCGAAACTGTACAGTGTCTCCAGGTGCTAATTGGCCAAGCTTCCACCTAAGAAGAATGTTAAACAAGTGTCGTGAGCGTCATGGACAGTCTACAAGTACAGGAGCTTACCATTCCGACGTGGCGACTGTGCACATGCATAAATACCCGCCCATATCGGGGCCTTCATTAGTGAGAATGACAGGTGTATCGCCATTGAGATTTATCGATCCTGGAGCATACCCATTGTCTAAAATGTTGCTGGGATGCGAGCCTCCTTCGCCGCCGTTCTGTCTTGCCCATCGAATCTTCTCTGAGGAACTTGGAGGTTCGAGTCGCGTTCCCATTCTATTGCTCGACGGGCTGACACGCCATTGAGTCGCGTAGAATTGGGTGATCCCGCTCCGCGTGATGAACTCCTCCTCATCTTGAGGCCCCGGCAGAACGAAAACGACCCAATCAGACGGATACGATGGCAGGATGTGCCTTGGAAGGGGTGCGTCGACTGCATCCTGCTCGTCGGCTTTTAAGGAGCACATTCCTAGGTTTATTTGATCTCCTCTTCTCAATGAGCACCCCTTGTTAACTCCTAGTAAATAACTGAAAGGACGTAGTCATGTCCACGTACCTGGTAGCCTCCAAGCCCCATGGATGTCGACTTGGACCCCAGGTACAGAGGTATGTCCAGGAACCCACCGCGGATGCACAAATAATTTCTAAGTCCAGTCGTAATGCCTGCCATGGGGTCTACTCCAATTTCGAGCACACCGTTCTGAGGCACTACCAGTTTTGCCCAAGGCGGCTTTCGGATTCCATCAACGCGAACGAGGACTTCTCTTCCAGTAACTGCCACGACCGCTTGAACCGAAAAGCGTGCCGAAAAGCCTACGCCTGGGACAACTATGATCTCCAGACCTTCTGTTCGCTTGTCGTTTCCGACCAGGATATTGCCCACCGCGAAGGCCAAATCATCCATGGGCCCGCTTCGGGGAATGCCAAGACCAATTGTGCGGCCCGGCAGATCTTGAACACTAACGTCTAGACCCGCAGACATGACCTTGAAAGCCCTGTAGCCGAGTGAGTAAATCCTACTTGCAGTTGAATAGAATATTGCAAACCGTGGATAGCTCGTAACCGTTTGCAGAAATCTAGTGGTAACGGCACCAGCCCGGAAAGATTCTGTCCTCGCTACGTCCACAAGGTATCTAATGTTGTTTGGAGGACCTTGGATCGCACATCCTTTCAGTGCGATGAGGAACCGTGAAATGGCTTCCTCCCGTGAAGAACCAGCGACGATAACCTTGGCCAGGAGTGGGTCGAAGTGTGGTGTTACCATCGTACCAGTCTCAACCTATGCATGAGATTAGTAACAAATCGGTCCAGAATAAATGCGGGAACGTGTAGCGTAGTCCTCACCCAAGTGTCTACTCGAAGCCAGTCACGGCCATTTATGTCGAAGGAAACGTGTTGAAGGAGACCTGGTGAGGGCAGGAAGCCGTCGTGTGGGTTCTCAGCATATACTCGCCCTTCAATTGAGAAGAAATTGCCCTGCACCTCGCTTGACCGGTGGAGGTCATCGTACGTGGACTGCTTCATTTCAGGAGATAAGGATGGAAGACCACCACTCTCCGTCATTTCAGCGAGGACCTTGCTTAATCATAAGTTCGACGATGTCGAGACCAGCGTGAATTTGCTCGGTAATAGGATGTTCAACCTTACCACTGATGAGCCTATGCACACGCCAGGGTAAACAAACGGAGCTGTTCACTGACCTGGATTCGAGTATTCATCTCGAGAAAATAAAATTTGGCAGTTGTATCATCTACGAGAAATTCAACCGTTCCTGCAGATAAATTAGATACGGAGAATCGAACGAGTTGAAGAACATGCCTGCAGATCCGTACTTGATTTTCTGTCCCAAAGCGACTGCCGCCGAGCACATTCTTTCTCGCAACCCTGTGAGGCGAAATATTTTTTGTCATGTTCACCTGGACATTTGTGAAGACTTACCGGGATTTGCCGCACAAAACGGACTTGGGGTCTCCTCTATCACTTTCTGGTGACGCCGCTGAACGCTGCACTCTCGTTCTCGCATATGGACGACTTCCCCGAGTCCATTTCCGAAAATCTAATAGACTGACACTCTTAGCTCATGGTCGAAGGGAGAGGCAAAGAAAGATGAACCTGTATCTCAATATGGTGGGCGGCCACATAGTACTTCTCAATGAATAAACCGTCATTCGAGAACAAACCCTAATACCAAATCTCATTCAGCTACATAAATCAAGTGAAGATCATGTGGATCCAGCTTACCTTCGCCCGGTCCTTAGTCGAACGAAAGCTTTCCTGCAATTCGATAGAGTCCTTACAAACGAATATGCCCATACCGCCTCCGCCTGCCGTCGCCTTCAATACAACGGGATAACCACATCTCTCCGCGACCTCCAAGGCTTCGACTTCGCTCGCGACCAGATTCTTGGAGCCTGGAACGATTTCAAGCCCAGCCTCCTCTGCCATCTTTCGCGCGATATGTTTGACACCCATCGAGCGTATGACTTCTGGTCGGGGACCTAGCCATACCATCCCGCTATCGATGACTTGAGCGGCGAAGTCCGCGTTTTCGGAGAGAAATCCGTAGCCTGGGTGCACTAGGGTGACGGTGTGTTGCTTGCATATCGATATGATTGACGCGGCAGATAGGTACGCAGTCGCTTCGCTGGAGGGTGGGTCGGCAGTGGGGAGAGCAATTGTTTGGTCGGCTTGGATGACGTGAGGAGAAAGCGCATCCGACGGTGTGTATATCGCAACTGCCTTTAAACCCAGGCGCTTCGCCGTTCGTATGATGCGCACTGCAATTTCGCCACGGTTTGCGACCAGCAGTTTGTGGGCTGCGTTGCTCGCCATTGTCGAATGTCAGGTTAACGATAGTGGGCGGTCCTTTGGAGTAGATGTCTTGACTTGCATGGCAGGGAAGCTGCTGGTCATCTGGTCACTTACATGGGGAAAGGGAGATAAGATCCCGATTCACCCTACCAACTATAGACCTACTCGTACATTCAAGCACGCTTCGAGCTTCAAATTGTCTGGGACACTCTCAAGCATATCCATTTGAACGATTGCTCTCATCGACGAGCTTCTTCACGAGTCGTGCAACTTCCACAGCACCCTGATAAGGTTTTGTGAGCTGGCGTATTGGAAGGAAAGCATAAGCAAGGATCTTACTGGGGTATCAGAATGACAACAAATAGAGACCTCATTTATATTCTCGCCCAAAGGGAGAAGGGTTCCCGCTACGGTCGTCACCTTCTTCTCATTCAAGAGCCTGGTCACCTGGTGAGGAGTTTGTAAACAGGGCTTCGTAGAGGCGAGGACATCATACCCGCTCCTGAACCACATCCAAAGGCACTGGATCGTGTTTCCTAAGTTTCGTCCTAAGGCGTTATCGACGAAAGAGAACCACTAATCTTGCTTACTGCGTGATGATAAGTTTGCCTTCGGCAGTATAATCAAGGTCTGCGAACCACTCTAAGATAGGCCATCAAATCAGAGTGAGCAGCTCTGAAGATAAGGAATAGAATAGAAAACACCTGGGATAAATCTCACGCCAGCCTCTTCTGCGGCAGTTTGATGAGCCGAACCTGCTATTCCAATGAACGCGACGTCTGGGTTTTCGCTAGAGCGGAATATTTTGCACACTTCGACTGCGGCGCGAGCTAAAGGCAAGGACCGCGAGCTTTGACCGTATACAGCGCCATGTGGCTTAATCTAGAGCAAGACTCAGAGCGGGACAGGGCCAAGCTGAACGAGTCCAACGTACATGGTTTAGCGCCACACTATGCAGCTTCAGAAAGCCCGTAAGGGCCCCTACTTGATAGATGAAGCATGACTTCAGTTCGTCCTTGACTTTGTATGAGCTTGTAAATGGCCACGAAATGAGATATGATACCCACCGGTTCGATTGCCATCTCTCGTCGTCCGAAGCCCTGCAAGTCGGGAAGAGAAGGGTGGGCACCGATAGAGATTCCGTTATTCTTCGCAAGCTGAACCGTCTTGTTCATGACAGAGAAATCACTACAACAAATGCAATTCATCCGTTATATCGACCAGTTGGCTCTTGGAAAATGAGGCTCACGAAGCATGAAACCCACATGCCACGTTGGCAAGATGTACGTGTCTCGTGAGAGCTTCGTCATCCCCCTGAAGCCAAAACTCAACGTGTTGTGCAGGATGAGGGTTGGAAAAAGAGTCCTACGACAGTGTAGATAGTGAAGCCCTGGCCAGATGTGAGCTGCCATGAAGCGGGACAACACTAGAAACCAACCTCGCCCATATCACAGTTAACCGAGGCTTTCAACGGAGGCGGTACTCCAGATGGCATTTCAAATGCTTGCGTCAGTTATCGTTAGTATTCGTTGAACGACTGTACCAGAAGCAAACGGCGGAAAAGGTTGGCTGAGGCTTACGAAATTCTTGGCAGGATACAGTTCGGTTCGGGAATCGGACGACCGGACGGCCCGGACGGCTTCAAACCTAACGTTCAACGTCAACGTTCAGCCGAATCGACTTACCCTGGCTCGGGAAAAAATGTTTGACACTTGGTACGACTGTGATTCAAAGAGACAATTTGATGTTTTTTGGTGTCAGATATCCGGAAATTTTGTTAACATGGACGCATTGTCGTTTATTTGGTGAACTGCCCATCGCATTTTCGAACCGACACAAACCGATAAGCGCCCGCCCATCTTGAATTTGCGACTGTGGGCGAGGCGTGTCCCGCATGGCTTCAGAACCATTGGCATTTCTCACACACAATCGATCTTCCTCCTCCACCAGCATATAATCATGGATCCATCTGCCATTTGGAAGATTTTCGAGCATAATCCAGATGCTCTCAGGACTCTGGTAGCCACCTCCGAACGCGCTGGGCACGTATTCTGGAAAACAGAGGCTGTGAGCACCATTTTTAGCCGTCCATTCTACTCTTACAGCGATTTCTCGCCGTAGAATCACGAACTCTCACAACGCCAACGACAGCTGGATGTACTCTCCGGTGCATACGGCTCAGTGTTCTCCCTGGCCAACGAGATCCACAAGCTCCAGTTCGCTCAGATGCTTCAGGGGCAAGGGATATCCGAGGAGCTGATTGAGCGATTAAATGGGATGTAAGGCATTTCAATCAACTCAACGATAGCCTTACTGAATCCAATCCTCATAGAGAGCTTGGCGACCTGACATCGGCTCGGGGAGGGGACATCCGACGACTCCTACTGAAGCTTTGTCTGAATAGAGAAGCGGAGGCCATACATCAACATGGGGAGCGTATATTAGAAGGCGGGAAAGTAATTCTGGTATGTTCCTCCGTTGATATCTCCATGAAGATGCACGGTGGCTATCCCAACACTCCAGGACTTATTAGTATCTCAGCCGAGGAATCTTCTGGAGCATTTGCTCGCCGTCAGCCCCGCTGACCAACACACGGCGCGCCAAATTTCACAGGATACCGGGCTGGAGGATCTGACTGACTGCATCCTACGAGAGCAGAGAGAGTTTATTGCAGGAGGATCTTTCGGAGAGGTATATAGAGCCGAGCTCATCCGAGGCGAGATGAGGAAGAAGGTATACTGCGCTTATGTAACAGCAGCAGGTCTATCTGATCAATACTCTAGGTTGCCGTGAAGGTGATCAAAATCTATGAGGATGATATAATTGATCCAGCGAGGAAGTTACGAATCGAAAACGTGCGTATTCCATCCTTCCTTGTCTTAAATGTGCAATAAATGGCTCTCGTTTAGCGTCTGAGAAGGGAAATTAAGGTCTGGAAAAGGCTATGCCATCCCAACATCGTTCCACTCCTCGGTTTCGTCCGCAGTTTCCAGACGGGATATTACACCTCCCCGCTACTATCGATGGTGTGCCCTTGGATGGCAGGTGGAAGCCTTACAAAGTACTTGCAAGCACGAAACCAAGATCTGACACTGAAGGACAGGTTTCAACTTGTAAGTTACCCTTCTGACCGTTGGGTCTCTTCATGACCGATTTTTTTTCAATTGAATTCAGCTTACCGACGTAATAGAGGGGTTGACGTACCGTAAGTTGGACTTGACCTCTACTACAAACGGTTATTTCACAACGTGAATGACCTTCAGTGCACTCAAATTCTGTGATCCACGGGGATCTAAGTAGTGTAAGTTCAAAGCTCACGGGATATCAGTCGATCTTACTGATTGCGTATATATGATATAAAGTCAAATATCCTCGTTTCCGACAACAGTGCATCTCTCAGTGACTTCGGGTTGTCGCAGATTGTTTCCGACTTCGTCGACACGCCGTACATGACGTCTAAGTTGGCCCAAGCCGGGGCAATCCGATGGCAAGCTCCAGAACTGTTTGTCGGAGACGATCGATGCCCTCCGAAGACCAAGGCCTGCGATATCTACTCCTTTGGCTGCATTGTACACGAGGTAAGATCGTTTTCCTCTTTGATCTACAACCTTGATTCCCGAAGGTTTGAATTGCTGAGGTTTGTTCAGGTCATATCGGGCTGCTTGCCCTACTTCAATATTGAAAGCGATTACTACGTTGCGTTACAAAAAATGACGCTCATACCTCCAGCGCGCCCAGACTCTAGTCTCCTCACAAATGAGATCTGGGACTTCATACAGTTGTGCTGGCGAGACGAACCAAATTGGCGACCAGAGGCAACGCAAGTGGGGCGTAAATTGCAGGTTATAACTTCCGGATACTCCAACGAGGCGTTGAACATAAAATCTCCCCTGATGCTAGAGGAATCCGGGCTAAAGTTAGACTGAGGGCTTGACATGTCGCTAGGAACTATGGGTCCACTGTCCAAACTGCCCGGTTATCATCCCTGTTATCCCGAGGCGCTTGCGAGTCGAAACTTCTCTTCTCCAATTTAGTCTGGTGAATGTAATAAATAATGGGTATTTTCCAGATGAGAAATGCAACCGGAATCTCAGTCTGTAGGTTTAGGTTTAAAATACGTTTGGGACAGGATACTTTAATGAGGATCCATGATAGGCGGGCCCAAGGCGGGCCGCGGGATATCTCATGATCTGAGTCAGAAAACCCGTTCGCTGGCTCTTGTTTGCTTTGAATCCTTACGTCGTTAAACACCTCAAGGCCTCAAGGCCTCAACGTTCTCAGCCTTGTTCCCCTTGATTACCCAGCTTATCAGGCATAAAGATCCGACTGACCGACATTCGATACGGCTTGTATATTTGCAGAAGACTGAAGTGCAACTGAAATAGGCACTATTCGTGGACGCCAGTGCAATACAGAGCCTCCATGGGTGTGCTCAAGACTCATACAAGTTCACCTACTGTCAACACAGGGCTCTGTCTATAACACCGCGATTTGGTTTTGGCATGTCTAACAATAGGGCATCAGGTGTGCTTGCCACCTGCCGGCATCATCGCTTTCTCCTTACACAGCACTGCCAGGCGTTGGTGTGTCCTGAACGTGTTCTTAAGGCGCTTTCTTCTGGCTAACACCTTCGCCTTCTGTCTTCTTCCTAGAGCTACGATGAGGTTGTTCAAAGGCAAGGCAAAACAAGATGCCTTGGAAGCTCTACAAGCCACAGGAGCACTAGTTCAGCTCGCCATCGAGAACAAGAATGCGTCAGTCTACTTTTAGCGCCAAGGTTGGCCTGTCTATCCTAACTGTCCGTATCGAGTAGCATACGAACAATACGAGACGCCAGATAGACACTGTCTGCGCGGGCGCAAAGTCGATCTCCGTCCTCCTGAAAGAAATCCCGAAACTGGAGATCATCCAATGCCTAACTGGAGAACGCGTGTCGCCCGAACTGATGGGTCGCCTCCAATCCATGTACGTGCGTTGACGTTTTGCTGCTGGACTGGTCGCTTATCACTGGTTGTTGGCAGCGAACTGGGCGATTTCGTGCAGCCTGGTGGGACAGTAGACGGTCTGCAGCTCCTACGCAAGCTCTCTACCGACCAAGAATGGGATTGTCTAAATGGTCACGTAACACGTATTGAAGACGGCGGGCAAACCCTGGAGGTATGTATAAACGACTCTTGGCCTGGGGCATCTCATTAACGGTATCTCTAGACAGTTATACTGAAAGCCTGGCAGAGTATGGCCCAGATGGTCCTGCGGGACGTGAGCGTTGAGGATAGTGAGGCGATCGATTACTATAGCTCTACGGAGCTGGAAGACCTTTCAAGTTACATCGTGCCTGTCAGCGCCGAGTCCGTCGGTGAAGGTTCTTTCGGGACTGTGTTCAAGGCAGACCTGGTCAAGAAAAATATAACAAGAAAGGTTGCGATATTCTACACATCTCTTTCCGCGGCTCACCATTATTTCTGCAGGTTGCTCTGAAAGTCTTGAAAGTCTATCAGTCGCAAATTGATGACCCGGCGAAGAAACAAAGGATCCAAAGGGTATGCTTTAATTTGTTTAGCTCTTGCGGCAGCTGATCGCGATTCTTCGACAGCGTTACCGGAGAGAGATTCGTGTTTGGAGGGATCTGCACCACATCAATGTCGTTCCGCTTCTGGGACTCGTGCACGGATTTCGAACGGGTTATTCTCGCGCGCCCTTCCCTTCGATGGTCTGCCCATGGATGAATGATGGATCGCTCACGCAATATTTGATTGCCAACCGTGAAAAGCTGACGCTGAAGGATCGATTCAAATTGGTATGTCGCTCTTTTGTTGAGGATTTCGAACGTGTCTGGACCTCGGAATGGACCAGATGACCGACGTTATCGATGGACTCTCATACTGTAAGCCTCATGTTGTCCTCATCCCTAGGTTGTCTTTTAATATTCATTCGGACTTGCAGTGCACTCAGAATCCGTCATCCACGGCGATCTCACCAGTGTAAGCTGTCCTTGAAAACTTTTCAGGTACTTGCTCCCTCACAAGTTCCTCGATACACAGGCCAACGTCCTGATCAGCGAAACCACAGCCTGCTTGAGTGATTTCGGACTCTCACAGATTGTATCTGAATTCGTTGGTAGGTCGTACATGACCTACCGCGTCGGCGGAGCTGTGCGTTGGCGGGCGCCAGAGCTCGTTCCTGAAGACGAAGATGATGAAGAGGAAGGAGACAGCACGAAGCCGGGCCCTCAAATGACGAAGGCTTGCGACGTGTATTCTTTCGGCGGCATTGTACACGAGGTGAATTCTTTGCCATTCCATGTTCATTAGCTATTCAACAAGGGTATTTCGACCCCCACCTCTAGATCATCTCAGGGCATCTCCCTTACTACGACATCCCGACTGATCATATGGTATTGGTCTACAAAACGATGCACACGCGCCCTGCACGTCCGCCGTGCGAGCTCTTGACGGACGAGATTTGGGACTTGATCCAGCTCTGCTGGAGAGATGAACCGGCATGGAGGCCTGAGGTGACTCAAATCAGCCGTAAATTGCGAACAGTCAAATCTGGGTATTCTAACGAAGAATTGGCGAAGACTCTGCCTCCCGTTGTAGAGGTAGGTGGGTTGGAATGGGATTGAATGTTTTGGGTCTTTGGAATCCGCTGGTCGTCACAATGCATACCAAGATCATGTCTGCGTTGGTAATATAGGTCGAATGATACGGATATGGCTACTGGTAGCTGGAGCTTAGGGTACATCTGGTAATAAGAACGAATATTTAATGCATACGAACAGCTTGGGCGATTATGAATTCATGTTGACAAAGTCCTTCAATGCGTGAAGAATCATGGATAATGTTTGCGAAAAATGCAATGCACAAGAACGATAGAAAGCAGAGGAAAAAGTATGCCAAATTGGGGCGCGATTGTTCACCTCGGCCACCTGCCTGACCCATTACGGCTTCGATCGTCGGGCGACCGACCTCTGTATCCACCACTTTCCCGGCGTTGGGGAGAGTAGTTCCCGCGATCGCGGTCATCGTAGGACCCTCGCCGGTCCCTATCGCGATCCCTATCCCTATCAGCTCCACGGGATCCAGCGCTCGTCGGCGGAGGTGGTAGCGTCCCATAGGAACTCTGCCTCGCTCGCCCTCCGTCACCACCCGCACCTGGTTGACCCTGACTTCGACCCATCATCGTCGCCATCAGTGACGTCTCAATCGACGACGAGCTCGTGCTGGACGATGGCGGCGGCGGCAATGGCAATGGTGTAGACTGTTGGAACGTTGATGGCATACCCATGCCCACACCTCCGGTGTAGGCAGGGGAAGCGTATGTCGGTCCAGGTGAGGGCAGCATCTGTGGGTTCTGGTTGACGAGAGGGTCCGTGCGGATGGTTGGAGGCAGGCCGAGTGCTCGCGGGCCGGAAGGGAGAACCTCGGTGGCGCTGCGCTGGGATTGCTGCGCACGCTCCTTGGCCTGGCGCAACACGGCCATGCGGTCGTGTTGGGGTGGAGCAGCAGGTGTAGGTGCTGCTGCTCGTGGCGGAGGAGAAGGAACAGGTTCGGCCTTGATCTGACGCGTACTCGTCGAAGCGACTGGAGCAGTCGCTGTCCGCGCTGCACGAAGGACGGTAGTAGTCTTCTTGGTTTTTGCGGCTGGGGCCTCGTCTTCGACATCGCCGTCGTCTGCATCTGCGCTACCCTTCTTCGTTGCACGCTTCCGCTTGACTGCAGTGGTCTTGGCAGGCGGTGCTTTCTTCGCCTCCTGGCCTGGAACCCAGGCCTTGATGAATTCTAAGAGCGTCTTATGCACCCGACTGTTAAGGCGGATGTCAACATGAACGCTCCGGACGTCTTCCCTCATGTGGCCAATCCCAGTGGATAGCTCGGCCAGGGAAGCTTTGTCTTTATGGACGTAGATGAATATGCCGATGATCATAAATTCGATGGGCGACATTTTGGTGGGTTTCTTGAAAGCCTTGTTGTACTTGCTGTCCTCGGCCATCTCAGAGAATATGCGGTAGGTTTCCTTGACTTCGCCTTGAAATTTAGCAGGGAAAGAATCTTCCATAGAGAGCCATTTTTCCACCTGAGGAATACCCGGAGGCTTCAGAGCCGGAGAGAATTTCTCCATGCAGTAGATTGCGAATGCGAGGCACCGGAAGTCAGCTCCCCTGGCAGTGTCCCATTCCAGAGCGTCGCCTCCCAAGGAGCCGTCTTTCATATGCGCAAGGAGAATGTCCCGAATGAAACTCGATCGAGGAGTATGAATGACTTGTAGTTTCTCTGTGGAGAGAATGAAGCAAAATCAGGGCAAAATCGTGGCTTGGAGGCAGAGGCCTGACCGGCGGGCGTTAGGGCCATTCCCAATTGAACTCTCTGAAAATATCTTTAGAAACCTGCAGGTTAAAAGAATGAAACAGACTAACCTGGAAGACCTCGCGTTCGCTGCTTTCGGGAATTTCGTGATACTCTACGCAAACGATTTGCTTGTTCGCGAAGACCTTGCGGTACTTTTCTGGAATTATTCGGTGTTTGGGACCGGTATAACCACCCGTATCTGTATACCAAAGTTTCTCCGATGTGTACCTGAAGCAGAAGGTTAAGAACATGGTACAAAACATAACATGACGAACTTACGGATCCTTGTCTAGAAACAGACATAATTGTCAGTAGAACCAGAGTCAAGATGCCAGGCTCGCGTACGTGGTATCTAGAGTTGGATAGTTGGCGTCACAGTGCAGCATAAAAGCGAGAGACACGTACTAAACCTTGCATGAAGCTGAAGAGAATGAGAAAAACGGATGTAGGGAGGGCTTTCAAGCTCACCGATGAATGGAGGTTAACCGTTGCTTCCCGTCAATACATGTCTTCGACTCCGAACCATCCTCGTGATAATTCACAGCAAAGATGATGGGCGGGATGTAATAGTTCCGATAAATGGAGTCGATGATCATGATCTGCTTTGAATCGGGCCACACGATGTCTGAACACAGTGTCAAAGTATGTAGGAGAAAAGAGTGTAAAGTAGGCACACCTCGTTGGTATTCGGGCTCCAGATTAATGTCATCGCTGACTATCTGGTCTGTGAACTCTCGTAAGAACAAAAAAACGCGTCCGAGCATGATTTGACACACCATAAAGGGCCTGTGTTGTGTACGTTGTGGCTCTAGGCGGTTTCAAAGTGCTCTTGACTTTCCAGCCGCCCGTGCCGGAAGAAGACGCTTTACCCTTCTTTTTGCTTTTGGAATCGGCATAGTCGTCGCTCTCTTCGAGCTCTGTCAGGTCTGAGTAGTCGTCGTCGGAGCCCATGATGACGGGAGGTCAAGAACAATGTCGGATGCATTATTGTTGGTGTCACAAGCCCTAACCCTAAGGACGCATGAACCTCATGTGGTCTTTCAACTGAGTTCTACACTTCCTTTCACCATCACGGTCATATATGCTAAAGGTCTGTCGCGAGAGGCGACTTGAACGCACCTATGAATGGCGACCAGTTCAAAACGCCTCTGAACCGAATAAGAGATGGCTCATCGACGTTACGGTCAACAGCAGCCAAAAGGGACTCTTTGGCTGCAGAGTTAGAACGAGGTTCGTCTCTTGTATCGTCTTTGAATATCAAAGGTTTGACTAATAGAACCGTTGATTTTAATCACTAGATCCCCAGTTATCAACAGCGAAAAGACAGCAGCGTGCCCAAGTGTTCACATCATCCATCTCTCATGCGAACCTGGAGAGGCAGCTCCTCGCGGCCCAAACCGCTAAGATGGAGCTTGAAACGAAGCTGAGAGAGAAAGAGCTTCTGGTTGAACGATTGGAAAGAGATAGGAGATGGTTCGCCGATCGCGAGAAGGAAGAACGCGAAGAGAAGGAACGTGAACGCGCCGCACATGAAGAGGAAAAGGTTCGCCGTCGTCTTAATTATTCACCTTTATCCTTTCTGAATTTCGTTTATAGCGCAAATCTGACAGTGACCTGCGATCCCTACGCAACACCTCAGCTGCCTTACGAGAAGAGCTGGCAGACCTCGAGGATGCCCATTCAGCGCTGTCGAGAAGCTCTAGTCAAACCATCACGTCCCAAAAGACCCAAATCACCGCCCTCACCCATCAAACGTCTCTCCTACAGGAAGAACGCGATCAGTTCAAACAGATAGCAGAGGAACGCGGTGCCACTATCCAGGAGCTCCAAGCCCAGTACGATTATCTGTTGGCCAGCCAAGAAACTGCGGTGCGACAAGCATCCGAGGAGGAGAGCATGAGCGTCGTTCGTGAAGAGCTCCATCGCCAAGCTGCCTATCTCCGGAATTTGGAAACCACCAACGCGAAGCTTACAGTAGAGCTGAACTCTCTTCGAGAACGCAACACCAGCATAGAGGTTCTGAGGGAAGAGAAACGTGGCTTGGAACGAAAGGTCGCAACGCTAGACGAGCTTAGAACAAAGGTCGTCAAACTCGAAGCAGAAGTGGAGGCAGGGCGCAAGGAAAGGGAAGAATGGTACGTGATGCGCCCATTTTCAGTATGACCTTTCTAACTATTTATCAGGGCCAGTAAACCATCAACCACCTCGGTTTCGATGACCCAAACTTTGACCGACCTGCGCCTGAATCATGCCCGACTGCTTGAAGATCATGGAGCTACTGCCGCACTCCTCCGCCAGCGCGAAGCCGAACTCGCAGATCTTGAACGACGAGAAGCTCAATCTCAGCAGGCCATCCAGACCTTGGAACAAAATCTGCGCCTCACACGCGAACAGGTCGGTCGAAGAGAGACTCGTGCTTCTCTAGCTGAGAGGGAAGTCAGCTTCCTTCAAACCCTTCTCGTTCGTCGCGTCTTCCGTCTCGTTTGCTGAAACACTGAGCTTGGTTTTATTTTATCTAGGCAAGCTACAACGCTGAAGAGGCTCATCTGGATGAGGTGCATACAGACGAAGCGAAAGTTCAACGAATCCAGCAACTAGAAGCTCTTCTCTTAGACTACAAGGCAACAAACGAACAGCTTGCGAAGGAGATCGACGCCCTAGGTGGAAGTACATCTGCGCTTGATCATGGCCACAATCGGCAGGAGCTCGCAGCTGAGGTCGAAAAGGAGCGCCTCGAGAAAGTTGCCCTGCAGAAGCGTAAGCCGATTTACGTTCTTCCTTGCGGTGTTTATTAAGGTCTCCACTCCGCAGAACTCAATGACTTCGAAGCAGAGACCAAGCAGAACCTTGACAAGATCGAAGAACTCGAGCAGACCCTTTTCGAGTTACGAGGCGAGATTGCAGGTGGCAGACACGTACCACCAGGTGTCCGGGTCCTTTCGATGACCGACAACCTTGAGCAACAGTGGTTCGACCTACGGCAGGCAGCTATGGACCGCCTGAAGGGCGAGAACGAGGCTTTGATGAAGCGACTCAAGGAGCTGGAGGAGAGTGGAGCACGAGCAGCGCAAAATCCTGGAGACGAGCTGGTTCCGCGAGAGAGTTGGGAGCTGGTCAACAGGGAGAAGCTCGAGCTCGAGGACGTGGTGAAACAGAAGGAGAAACGACTGTTGCGGTTGCAGCAGGTGCATTCTTTCATTCAATGTCCCAGACTACCCCGCTGACCCTGCTTCCATAGATTTTCACGTCGAAGAGTGCCGAGTTCCGAGAGGCGATCGCCTCGATCCTGGGCGTGAAACTCGCGTTTTACCCGAACGGCCAGGTGAGGGTGACGTCCTTATACGATCTCGGAGCGTCGTTCGTCTTCCAGCCGAGCTCCAAGTCCGAAGGGGCACGGATGCAGCTCATCGCCCAGGGCGAGGGTGGCCCACAGGACCTGCCCAATCTCATGCAGTATTGGATCGAGAACGAGCAATGTCTACCCGGCTTCCTGGCGAGCGTCACCTTGGAGTGCTATGACAAGTCCAAGCGCGAAGGGAACGGGGGTATGGACGGGACCATATGAATGGCGAGCACCCTGTAGGCCCTCGTGGCCTTGCTTGAATGGTTCTCTGTCAGTGTTGTTCCATCCTAAAGGACGCCACTGAGAGTTTTGCGCTAGCTTCTTGCTTCGGGATGCCCATCCCATGAGCGGCAATTAAGCACGCGTATTGTCCGGTTATATTTATGGATACCACACGCAGGTGTATGGCACTGGACGTGGGGTCTGTACCCAGGTCATAATACAAGGACTGCCTTTGGGATTGGTCGAAGGACTTGTGAATAACCCTCAATGAAGTCCTTGGGGGATGGAAGCAAACCTTGTTTGTTGACAATTCATTTCGCAGCTTCACAGGTTAACGTTGTAAATCCCATCCGAATTTTGACTCTGGTAGCAACTCCTCGTTCATCGATCATTTTTCAGATAGCTCTTGGTTCTCTTCCAAGCAGCAATCACGGCTGGTTCACTACAAGCCTCTACACCCTCATGGAATCCTCCGAGGAAGAACAACCATCGCTCTTTTCTTCAGAACATCCGTGCTGCGGATTCCCACAACGGTTGGTCCTCCGCCGGCGGACGCCCATGTAGAAGTCCTCGTGTGTCAGGTTCGTGAACTGGGTCTGGGAAGACCGCCGGCCTGGATGTGGGTTCGCGGATTCTTTTCACAGCGACAAAGTATATCGTGCAGGGTGTGAGGACCCTTGGCACAGATTTTAGGAGCGGCTTACTCCTTTCAAATTATTGATTGGGGATCGCCTTGGGCGTCCAGGTGTGCGTGCTCCTGTTGAGGCTTGTTCTGTCCCACTTTGCGGCGCGGATGCTGTGAACGTGCAGGCTCTGAAGCAGGTCACCCATGTGGAGATGTATCGTTGACCACGTAGAAGGCGAGATGCTTAATTCCTTCCTACGCAGGCTGGCAGCTCTTCCTCAGACAAAAGCACTGAGCGTAAGACGATAGCCTTCAGCCTTCAGCCTTTGGGGTGCAGGAACTTGAATCCCAGAGAATCAGGGGCTTGGGGCGCTTTTCATTGTCCATCGAAGCCCCATATGGTTCGTCTACCGAGGCGAAGTCCGCGAATATGACCAGTCCATCGGCTTTCACTTAAGGAGCAGGGAAAGCAGGATTTTGCCATTTAGGCAGGGAACTGGGCGGTCCACACGTTGTTCCAGCGAGGCGAGACGCTATCAAACCGTCTAGGCACCCCACAGGCCCCAGCAGCTCCCCAACCCCCCAACGATGACGTCCACCAAGGTCGAGAAAGAAGCACCAGCAACCCATCCTCAATTCTCCTTTGCGGACGCTGACGTTATTCTCGTGTCTTCCGAAGACACCTGCTTTCGAGTACCCTCGTTCACATTACGGAACACTTGCGGCTTCTTTCGCAACCTCTCTTCACCATGCTCACCCCTGGATGGAGAAAAAACACAGATATTCAACGTCGATGAGAAGGACAAGGTGCTTGCCAAAGTGCTCAGCATGATCTGTGGCCTGTACACGGAGAACTGGGAGTCCATTCAAGAAGTCGAGGACGCCCTTGCGCTGGTGCAGAAGTGGGACGCAGCGGGGCCGCTATCTGTCATTCGGAGTGCGATAACGGCCCCGGTGTTCCTCGCGGAGCCTCTGCGGCTGTACGCCATCGCGACGAAGTTTGGGTGGGACGAAGAAGCACAGCTCGCCTCCACGCGCACGCTCACTCTGGACCTGTACGACGAAGCCCACAAGCCCAACCTCGAGCGCCTTTCAGCACGCCACCTCATGATGCTGCTGCGCCTCCACAGATCGCGACGGGATGAATTCAAACGACTCGTCGACGGTGACGGGGTGTTCGAAGCCGGGAATTCCTCGCGATATCTCTGCTCAGGATGCGGAGAGCCGCTGAACAACTACACATGGCGGGAGCTCAAGGCGAGAATGTTTATGGAGATGGATCGGAGGCCGTTGGGAGATTCGCTGTGTAGCCTGGAGATGGAGGAATGGCCTGAGGCTCTAGCATGCTGGACAGCGAAATGTCAAAAGAATGATTGTGGACGACCGAATTACAACAAACTGGAGACCTTGCGCGATATTCGGGGCTGTATTGATAGGCTTCCTCTTCACATCTGGTAGTAGTTTAAAATATGCATTTATAGGCGGTTGAAATGCCGAGTTCTTCAGGTCTCTATAGTTGAAACGTTGAAGCTCGAAGGGTTAGCGCAAGTTCCAATGGTCACGGGAGCGTTTTAGGCGTAACATGTTTCGACCTCAACGGGCCGGTCGAATCCTTACCTTTTTCTTTGCGACCATCATCACTGGTAGTATGGAACAAAAACTCGTAACTATTCCGCAAGAAATCCTTGACTCCATCATCGACCTAGCCGCCACAGAGTGCCAGGATTCGTACGGCGATTATTATGAAGAAGAGGAACACGAAGAGACGCAAGAAGAAGAATTCTCCCCGCTCGCTGCTAAACAACTGGAAACCCTTCGTTCAGTCTCCCTCGCCTCCCAAGGATGCTGTGTACGAGCACGCAAGCACCTCTTTTCTCAAATTTGACTTGATCTGGATGGGCGTGACGGTCTATGGTCTGTCAATACGACTCCTTTGCGCAACATTACGAAAGTTCTGCAGTCGAACAAGCACGGTGTCCGAGCTTGCCCAAGGTTCCTTGAACTCAATGTCGACTATGACACCGTCGCACTCTCAGATTACCAGGCGTCTGCTCAGGATATGGCCGATCTCTTGGGAGAGGAAGCCATCTTCCCTCAACTCAGCGCTCTCGCGCGCGAATTTAAGATCAATCTGCGGGTTGATGGAACCGTCAGGTGGTCAGATAAGTGAAGGTGAGCTCGCAAATTGAATAGCAAGCTGTTGTGGAGTCGTTGAAGGCCATTACCAGCTCTTCGATTCATTTCGAAAACTTCCATTCTGCGGTCATGTCCAATGGGCAAACGGGGCCGAAATTGATGACTCGGCTTACTCTACCATTCCAACACTGTCAGCGAGTATGTAATTCAGCATTGGAGTTCGTTTGATAATACATCATATTGGCGAAACTACGATTCGGGGAACGATCTGTGGTTCTGGATGACAGTCGACGATGAACACCTTCAACACTTGCATTCGCCAGGCTTGCAGGTGCACCTACATAACCGTTATTCAACAGCAGCACGGATAAATGACAGACAGATGACGTACGAGGTGCAGGTACAGGAGGCGTTCCCGCAGCCGCCAGACGATTGGGAGACAGGGGTGCCACAAGTGCAGCTACGAGGAAGATATCAAGGTCAGACCAGGGAAGGAGCGGAGTCAGGCAGGACGTACTTCGCACCACACTTGCAGGGGGAGCAGGTGCAGCCGTCAGCCTGCGAAACAGGGATCTGGGAGTTGGTCTGAACGCAAAGGTAGGCAGAGCGGGAAATCGTTAGGTCGCAGCCGGGATGAGATAGACAGAGCATGTCGGACGTACAAAGGTCATGTTAAAAAGAATTGAAAAGTGCTTGTCGCAGTGAGGTGTCGAAGAACGGATCTTGAGCAGGGTCTTGGAGCACCTGGCTCCTTTATATACCTCCTGAGGGTGTTGTAGGCTGTTTATCTGGGGGGATGAGGCATTTGTGCGATGCCAATTACATAGGGCATGATCCGCAGGTCGGATCGGTCACCGGTCATCGCTGACGCATGCGTCTCCAAAAAATGCCTCATCGCACGTGAAGCGGGTGAGGAAATTAAAAACAGGAAGGCCGAATTTGAAGAAACAAAGTAGTTGACGGAGAAGACGACAAGAGGTTGGAAAGGCTGTGGGCAAGATTAGCACAAACGGACTTGGGGAGCATGGCTTTACTTACGTGGACTCTAATAGTCCCGCGTGAAATACTTTCAGTCTGATGTACATGTCGGCACCTCCGTGTGAAGATCGAGTTGCATATTGGTGGTGTCAAGGATGTAAGGCTAGGGAAGAGAATGTCTTTGGTGTACAAACCCGCAACGTCCCTGGCCGTCTTTTCCATGACGGAAGTGAACTTTAGTCTGATTTTAATGTGCTTCAGGGAAGGAAATTGAGGGGCCGGAAAATGCAAGATCGAGCCCATGCCAGTCTTCTTCCTCTGGAATTCCTTGGACAGGTTCTTCATCGTCACTGATACGTATCTCGAATGTTAAGTTCACCTTCCGGAGTCTCGCCGCCGAGCCAAACGCGATGATGGGTGCGAAGTCAACGCTACTGCCGAATAACCAGAATCCCTGATCACGGATGTGCAGGGAGATTAGACGAGGAGCTTCATGGCCGGGTTGGGGAGTGTAAAAATTGTCATCTGGGAAAAAAAGTGCTAAAGGAATATAGTAAAGAGAAGACTGTTCAAGAATTTCAGACAGAGGCTTACTATGAGGCATGGGCACAACGAGTTCGAGCTTCTCCGTCGACAGGGTAGAAATCGAAGCGAATAATTTCCAAAAGTCCGTCCCAGTATTGTAAAATTTCATGAAACGTGTAGTAATAGAAGACAGTTGGGGGAGTGATTTTTGGGAAATGACCGTTAAGAAGTTCAAGGAATGTGAGAGGTGCAAACTGTCCCAGCGCGCAGGCGGAGCGCTCACGGCAACTTCATGGAAGTCTGGGGTTTCCTCTGGTGGAGTCATGGAGAACCCGCAGTTATCAAGGGATAATATCCGGATATTCCTCCAGCCGAGTAGGAAATCCGCGTTGAAGTTGTAAAAGCTCTCGAGCTCCAAGGTTGTCAAGGATGGTAACTTGTTCCACAAATTCCAAATCGACTGTCGAACGTCTCCTTGTACTCCTCTCCAATTGATCCCCGAGACAGAGTCGATCGATAGCTCCTGTAATTGAGGCATGAAATCCATAATTTCAGAAACTCGGTCCCACCACCGATTCAGAGAGCGACAGTCGCAGGTTTCGATTTCGAGCCTCTGAGGAATGTTCCTGATGTTGCGATTGTTACCTCGTAAGAGCACTGCTATGTTCTTCAATGCATCTTGGTGCTTTTCATCCACGATTTCAATAGGAATGCAGGCAAAGAGGTGTTTACGAGCCCTGGTGTTGCAGGGAAGCGACACGGTCGACCATGAGAGGAGGGTCTGTCGACCGAGAGTGTCTGCAGAATGATCGGGGACAGAGAAGTCAATAAATTGATCCAGAATCTCTTGAGGAAATCTCGGATTGGCGGCGATGGTCCGATGGAGGTGAACGATGGGCTCTTGTTGATCCATGTGAAAGAACGAGTGCGCGATTTTTTGGATGGTAGTGTTAGTCAGCTTCTGCTTACCGAGCGAACTTACGGATCGGACTTGGCGCCCCTAATTCAAATTGGTGGCGCACAAATGCCTCACCGTTCGATTACCTTCGATCGTCTTCCAGATTCATGGGGATCGCATTCGAAGCGAATTTAGGTGCGGCGGGCACTATTAATCTTTAGCTACACATGTGGGACTCACGTCTCTCAGTCATCCCGTTGCAGGGGTTCTAGTTGCAGTTGCACTTCGTACGCTGTCTTCTATTTGAATTGTGCCAACTATATGCTGACCGTATCATGTATCAGGTGCTCTTGCAAGCCCGGCGAATGCAAGTGCTGAAGTTGTCTTGCAGCGCCACAACCAGCACGGCTGCCTATGTACTAATCTGCTCTGGATCTTCTTTTTCAAAGCTATTTCATTTGTATATTCGGAATATGATTGCCTGAAGCGACATTGAAAGGAGAGGTTCTTACTGTGCGAAAAGAAATGCATACAAATCAAAGAAACAAAACTTGTGTATTCGAAGAGCTAGGTAACATGACTTTAATATTTTGCAACAGAACATATTAGGCAACCAAAGCTCACGCAATGTTCACACGAGTCTGGAGTAAGCCCCCATAGAGACCCGGAGAGCGGGCCGGCTATCTGGGGTGGTCCAAAAATAGCATCCCAGAATGTCGAGCGACCATTGGGCCTCTTTCATGAACTAGTACGAGTTGTTCAGGGACGTCCCGCATTACAAAACTCATAGGAAATAGTCATTTCTGGAGCTCGTCCTCGAAGATGTCGGTTCAATTACCTCAAGGAAGGGGTGCAACACACTGATTGCATCTTTCATTGAAGGCAATGTTCGGGCATCCTTCCTCTTCACCGACCTGATGACGTCGCCGAAGCGGAGAGGGCAGGTCAGGTCACTCAGGTGGGACGGCAACATTCAATCGGACCTGTACTGGCGTAGTTTAACCGCCTGTACACCATTTGCCCCTCTCGAATCTCGACAAAAATTTTCAGTATATATATCGTTAATCAACTGTAGCCTCGTGGATACACAAGAGTTCATGATTCATGGGGCACTGTATGATAGAACATTCTAATGTAGATGGAGGTTAATAGTCATACAACAGAGAAAATGTAATAGATGTACCTCAGTTACGCAATAACAGCACCTGAGGACCCCGATCGACGCCGAGAATTTGGCAAGACTACGTGTTGGCGCCTGCCGCACCCTGCACAGTCATTCCCTGGGTAGGGGCTAACTGTTCAGTATTCGGAGTGGGAGCCGCGTTGGGATCCTTGGTCCTCTCCAGGTCCTTCTGCACCTGTTTATCGAATTGACCCTCGTCGAAAGAGTCGCCGCAACAAGACCCGCAACATCCAGCATTGGAGTTGCTGCCACAGCAGCCTCTGGCCCCACACGTTTCTAATCGAAACAGTTCTAAATTGAACCACGACTCGGAAGGAAAGCAGAGGTAGATGCATACGTGTGTTATACCAGGGAGTAAGTGCAGAAATGGCAAAGGTACCTGGAGTTTGAAAAATTTGCCAGGCCCTTGATCAGCGTCTATCACGAGGTCGAGGAGGGTTAGAATACTGACTACAGCATGAACAGCATATGCTTCCGGTGATATCTCCGCCTGTGTCCCCCATATTCTGCAATAGTAAAAGACCAGAAGGAATGGGCGGAAATTATATTGAAGAGAGGGAGAGAGAGCGTAGAGGAGTTGAAGAAGGCAAGGGACGTTCGCTGACGGCGTTGACCGTGACGTTGGAGTGAAGCGCGCACTGATCGGGGCTCAGGTTGTTACCACGATCCCATAGCGCGCTGTCCAACCACCACAGTCCCCGTCTCCTCCGGTGCTTTCTGGTGCCTGTCCACACTGCACGGGAACTTCGTACGTCCGTTTTCCACGCTGCGAGGAGCCACTCGATGCCCAGCAAGTGTTACATAGTGGTTTTGACGAGCCTCTTTTGAATATCGAAGGCATTCACTTGGTTCAAGTACGAATAAATGTAGCAGAATCGTCCTTGGTTGCGGGTTTATGCATATGACTCATAAAACAGCGGCACACTGGCCGCTCGCCCAGGGTTTCGACAATCCTAGGATCTTAAGACTTAAGAGAGGTGAGCGAAGAACACGATGTGAGGTTGGCGAGTGCGAGGACTCGAGATTACAAGTGACAACAGCATGAAAAGAAATCCAAGCAGTAGCACAGTGAACGGACAAAAGGGCTTGGAAGTATCGAGCAAATTAATACATATGTATGTACATGCAGCAATATGTAGAAGGCCCTGAACAGAGAGTTGGGTGCACGGAGAACGAGCGCAGGTCAAAATGAACCCGCAAGAATGGATATATATAATCTCATCTATACCAAGCGTACATCTGCATCGAATTCTAGATCAACTTTAGACTCCAGATCACTAAGTAGAATCTGCGAACATCCAGTTAAAGCCTCTACCATCTCATAAACAAAGTCGCCACATTCTTCTTCACCGCGAGAGACCTCAATATTTACCGTCAAAGTATCCATCTTTGGGTGGATAATTCCACTGCGACTACTTCGGTGAAATCAAGGTAATCTCCTTCCATAGCGTATATCTGCAGCTTCAACGAAGCTGGCAAGGGGTGGTCGAAATTGAAGTATTACCGTGGGAACAATCTTCTAGGTTGGAAATTAACGGATCAGTGATAACGATCGGCATCCTACCACGACGATCTTCTGGACACTTCGAACGTTGGACGACGTTAGTCGATCGGGCGCTTAATTTCCTCTGGATTTTTCTGTATACTTGACCAGGGGTACACAGCTAACTTCATGTAAGTCTTACACTCGATTTCCTATTTTTTCCCAAGCCGCTCTAGAAGATTTGTGAAGTCCAATGAAGACGAACAATGAGTTCCATTTCGGCGGAGGAACCTGTGGATCACCTGGCAGCGCATTGCGTCTCGTAACTCCCTAGGATGCACGAAGCTCGGAAAGGGTCAGAACACTGGGACCAGATGGAGTGCATCCCGCATGATGCATCATGAGTTCCGGCAGGTTAATTTTACGAGACTGTACACCATAAAGATAAGTCTGTGCCAACTGACGCCGCATGGGTACCAGGCTTGGGTGGGGTGTGGCGTGAGCGCGTGGCCAGTTCCGAGGGAACACGTGGACGGAGATTTTGACGAAGAAGTCTAAAATTGCTCTCTGAACCCTCTCCTTCACGACGGGTCACGGAACAGCCAATCCTGGCGCTCTCTTCTCTCTTTGCTGCCCATTTGTTCATTTCGGCCATCTGTGGGTCTCGTATCAGCGATAATCAGGAGAAAATGGAGCTAAACCCCGGTCACGATGGTCGGCAGTGCAGTAGGATCCCGAGGTCCCCGTCCGAGCTCAAGGACATCTTATCGTGAACCGCGTAGGCCACGCGAGAGCAGAATTAAAGGTAGATAGTTCTTGGACAAAACGCGACAAAGGGCGATCTGTCTTGAGCCCAGCGCCCATGATCACTCCGTTCCGCTTTCGCCATGGACACGCTCACCTGTCTCCATCAGCTGCGCATGCGTACTGAATATCTAGGCGCCATCTCTCCTCTTGCGCCATCTCTTCAATGACATGCTAGTGCCCAAAATCGATCCTCCGGGGTTCACCCGATGCTGGTAGACACGAGGCGGCACAGGCGTCTTCTTTTCGCAAAGACCACCCATGCAACGATACGGCAATGGTCTCGTATATTTATCGCCCAGCGTGGCTGGCGGCAATGTGATCAACCGCAAAGCAAGAGATATAAAAGCCTTCGGGGGTTGGGGTGGAATCGTTGCTTTCTTTCATCGCTCGAAGACCTCGCACTCCGCCAGCATGAAAGCCTCCTTCGTTACCGTTACTTGCGCTCTCCTTCTTTCCTCAGCTTCACCCGGTCTCGCTGCTACGTATTCATTGTCCGACAACATCGTCGGGTCTGGATTCTACAGCGCTTTTGACTGGCAAAATATCGCTGACCCGACCCATGGACGAGTGTAAGACTCTCTACAACTATTTCCGTGGGGGGTGTCTCGCTGATCGAGTTTGTCAGGAATTACGTCGACCAGGGAACTTCGCAGAGCCAGAACCTGACGTATGCTTCCTCCGATACCTTCATCCTTCGAACCGACTTTCGGACGGTCCTGAACCCGAATGGACCTGGGCGCAACTCGGTACGAATCCGATCGAAGAAGACATATACGAGCCATGTTGCTGTGTAAGGCCTTAAGTTGACCCAATAGTTCTCTGGTTACTGAACAACCTTACAGTTTCAATGTCAGGCATTTGCCTCAAGGGTGTGGGTGAGTTGATGAGCGTCCAGAATAAGTGAACGCCATTTACCTTCACTGCCTCCAGGACTTGGCCAGCGATATGGGAGACCAAGGAATCCAACTGGCCGAACGGGGTTTGTGCAGCTTATATAATGGTTGGCTCCAAATTGGTTACAATGCTAACCACTGCCACAATTACAGGGAGAAACGGATATTATGGAAGGCGTGAACGACCAGGGCCCTAATGCAGCGACCTTACACACCGTAGCAGGTAAATTTCTATCAATTTGGACGAGCTGTATTTAGGAACTAAATTTCTTATCTCGTCTAGGCTGTACGATGCCGGAGCCGCGGGCGCAGTCAGGGTCAGTGCAGCATCGCTTTTGGCGTCATGCAATTTGCTCATATCAGGTCTCGATTCTCATCATTCAGAGCATCGACTCAGCTTGACTGCAACTGGCTGGTAAACGGCAACGCAGGCTGTGGCGTCAAATTCCCATCTGGAAACAGCTACGGACCACCGTTCAATAACAACGGTGGCGGATGGTGCGTTCTTTCCAATGTCTACGACAATTATTTGTGTTCATTTCCACCACAGGTATGTGGTAGAGCGCACTCCTACGTATATCAAGGTTTGGTTCTGGGCGAGGAACGACGGGTCCGTCCCAGCCGAAGTCAGGAATGGCCTTGCGCAGGTCAACCCAAACAACTGGGTATAAAATAAATTCTCTGGGAAATCGATATTCTCGCTGACCGTGAAGCAGGGAGTCCCCGCTGCCTATTTCCCTGACACATCGTGCAGAATCCCGAACTTCTTCCAAGAGCATAACATTATCATCAACCTCACGCTTTGTACGTCCCTTGCTCCATATGAAAGATAATCAATGCCCATATTTAATGGTCGTTTCCTATGTCAGGCGGAGATTGGGCTGGTTCGGTGTACGGACAATCTGGATGTCCATCCACTTGTGTCGGTATGTTGACTCTTGGTCATCTCTGGCTGTCGTTGATTGATCGTTTGAAGACTATGTCAATAACAACCCAGCCGCCTTCCAAAACGCTTACTTCAACTTCGCCTCAATTCGCGTATACCAATGATCCAAGGCTCAGAGTCTCTACATGGTGTTTTAAAAGGTTGTATCAATAGCCAGTATTGAATGTATGTAAAATGTCTGCTCGATGTACCTAACGAGAGACGAAATCCCCTCATGAATTAGAATGGAATTGGGTGAATACAGCCTCTAATCGTCCGAGTTATTCGAACGGATCAAGTCCAGCAGACAGCCATCGAATAATTAACGGTGTCAGACTACCTAGTTGATCATGAGGGAGCTTCACGTGAAAATCGAGCATCGGATCCTCATGGATCCCACCCTCCTGCACCGTAAAAGTAAAATTTGATTTCACCCGACTGAGGGTCTGCGAGAACTTGATGATATCGTCGCGGAAGAGCTCTTCGCCTCCCGCCGACATGAACATCCTCTCGACCACTGAGTCGAGTCCGAGGAACCACGAGTCTGGGGCATGCAGCGGCTCCAGATAAATGCGCTGCTCCTCCGATACCGAAGCAAGGACGGCCTGCCCTGCCCTATCGATGTCCGCAGCGTAGAAGGTGTCCTTCCCCGACTTGGACCGGAAGGACGTGCTCGTGCTATGCATGCACAGCCAGGGAGACATCAGATACGCCCCGCGAAGAGGCTCTGTGAGCCCAATTATAGGCCGGATGCCGTCCAAAGGATGCATGAGGTGAGCCAGGAGTCCGAGGATGATATTGCAGCCTGCGGAGTCGCCGACAAGCTGAAGATCGCTGGGGTGCACACCAGAGGCGAGGATGTGTTCGACAGCGACAACGGCTTGACGAATTTGGGTGGGATAGGGGGCACCAGGTACCAGGCCTGAGGTTTCAGTGTCAGCGGCGCTATTTGGGGCCAAGGAGCAATAGGACGTACTATAGAGGAGAACCGCGAAGGCAACGTGCTTCTCGTTCTTCGACAGCTCACTTTGCACGTAGTGCCAAAATTCAAGCATAAAGGACTGTAGCGGTGCCACATACGCTCCACCTAGACCTCTGCATCAGAGCTTCCGGCCGTTCGGTAACGCGAGGCGCGGGCGCTAATTCGTACGCACCATGAAGATACAGCACAACCTTGTCTCTCCGCTTCGACTCGATCCACACCAACGTCGTGTCATCGACCAAGTCTTCGATTATTATAGGTAGATTCTTCCCCTTAGCCCAGGACTTGTATGTCTTCAGAGAGTTTGGTGAGAGTTTTTGGATCTCGGCGACGTTCACTTTGGAGAACACCCAGCGAGTCAATGATGCTCCGACTGTGCGCTTGAACTCCCGAGGCTTTCCGAGTCGTGGCAAGTTCTTGGTTATGAGCCAGAGGCCCACGAAGGCTGAAGAGTGTTTGGTTCTAGCGCTCGCCATTTGAAGATAAGATGGTCACTCACGAAGTCGGATGACGACAGTCGCCAGATGTGCGAAGTCCCGTAGAGAGATGCTTCCATACATGCCCTTCTTCTGCCCAGCCATGGTTCCAAAGAAACGAGAGGCAGCGTCGCCTCCTCGTTGGATCAACGTGGTTGAAGTTGAAGATGATGCCTGTCATCAACGTCCCGGGAATCCCGCAAAGTACTTTCCAAAGAAGGACAGGTTCATATTGTCACTATGACAACCTTCATTTGGGACACCCTACGTCAGAGGTCTACCAAGTGCTTATATTTTCGTCTGGAGGCTATGTACAGACATTAAAATTTGTCTGTGCAAGACTTTGGGATCCACGATGAATTTCGACATTCCCGTCGAAGCAAAAGCCATTCGTTGTATTAGATAATTAATTTTTTTTGAAAGAGAGCGTTTATGTTACAGTGTGGATATATCTCCATGCAATCAAATTGAGTATAGAATCTCATATGCAGTGTCGATTAGCTGTCTAGCAAAATAGTTACCGTTGCAGTTACGTTGCAGAAGAATTCCAATCGACGCGTCTCACGCGACCCTGTCACGTCACGTGTAAGAACCGCCAGCGTTACACGGGTGGTAACGCCAAAGATCCCCAACAACTTTCTTTATTCAGCTCCTCCACCATCATCTCCTCCGTCATCATCTCCTCAATCGACACCATGGAGTCTCCAAAAAGATTTCCTGACCCGACAAAGAATTACAGGATCTGTGGTACCTGCTTCAAGCGCAACGTGAGCGTCTGGCAGACCTTCAAGAACTGCAACGACTGTCGCGAGAAAAACCGCCAGAAGAAGGTCCGCGCTGACGAGAGGAAGAAAGAACGCGAGAGACAGGTCTCTCTGACTATAGCTCAAATGCGAAAGGAGATGATGTCTTCGGATAACGACGCGGAGAACGCGTCGACAATGCAGGGTGTGGAAGGCCCCAGCGCGTCGGCGAAGGAGGATGCGGCGAAGGAGGATGCGGCGAAGGTGGATGCGGCGAAGGCGAAGGAAGGTGGTGTGAAACGGAAGGGGGCTCAAGCGCTTAGTGAGCTGGAGGGAGCAGAACGCGACTCTGCCACGCAGGAGATGAAGAAACGCCTCGAAAAGAAGATCAAGGCGAACGGTAGAAGCAAGACGCCAGACTTGAGCAGCCGAGAGGTGAGTAATTCAGTAGCCTCTTTGTAGGGATCGCTGTTGATCGATTAAAACTTTGTAGGCGGATGATGGAAAGGAATACCAGACGGCGAGCATGCTGTACGACGCGATCAAGTCCAAGTCGACGCGTCTTGTGACTTTGAACAAACCACTGCAGTTCCGCGGTTGCCATTCTATCGTCGCGGTGTCGTCTATCAGGCACAAAAAGCGCGCAGAAATTGTTGAAAACGATCTGCGAAAACTCGCCCGACTTTCCTTCGCGTGAGTTTACGTGTCTTTCTCTCAATTCAACCAACCCTGATCGATGATCTGTCTACCAGAGCTTCGCCAAACGCCTTTGCAGAACACGAGACTGGCAAACTGTCGCGCACTCTCATGTTTACATGTGCATGTGCAGGTCCATCATCGACAAAGCCTTCCCCTTCGGTTCCAGTGGAGCCACCTGTTAAGAAAGGAACGCAAGGAGACCTCATTCGATGGGCTCGTGCTCGCGCAGCTTCCGATGCTGCCGCCAAGCAATGTGGCGGTATCGTCACGATCACCGTGAAAGACGACAACTCGCACCCGTACGGCATTCCTGGTAGCAAATTATTGTGCATGTCAAGCATCCGAAGTGAAAACAAGTCAGAATCGCCTCTGCTATGTACGTACGTGCTGCTGTCATACTTATATTCTACATTATTAGCTTTTTTTCCCAATCTGCTACTTTGCTCGCACCTATATGTCGCATATATCCGCTGTAGTTTACCTTACTATTCTCCTTATCTTGCTCTGTCATTGCCTTTGTTCAGTACTGTAGATGACCGGCATCTCGGTCACTCTACAGTCTCCTAAAATTTGTGTGCTTGGTTTGGGGGTGTTAAAAAAACTGACAGTACTACTCAATAGGCAAGCATCTGAAGTACCTGTGTACCAATTATCAGAAATTTAAGGGAGGGTTTGAGACCTCCACGAGTATTTTATTTCGATAGGTCAAAATCGGTCAAACCAGGAAGTCGGCCAGGCCCCGAGACTAGACCGATTTGTATTGGTCCCGTACACCGGTTGTAACCAGGGTCAGTTATGCTTAGTAAGCTAATGATAAGATAACCTCGGAATACGAGGACAGTACTCGGCCACCTTGAATTGCTCTTCAAAGTTGGTCTGACCTAAACGAAAAAATGCTTCCAGTGAAAGTTAGACACCTCTATCATGAGCTGGTCTTCTTATTTCGTGATTTCTGATGTTTTCCTTTCAGTTATTTAATTTGACATTTCTCATCACTCAAAACAAGAATTTTCAATTGCTTGGTGTCTTATGTTCGGAAGAAATTTGTAAAAATTAGGGGATCTTCTTTTATGCACACATATTCGCCTCACAATTCATTTCACCTCTTTGTTTATGCAATAGATGCTTTGTACTAAGAGAAATCAGCAGGAACAGTCCAATCCACCTCTAAAATGACACACTCTCCAATTTTCAAGGTTGGAAGTGCAGCAATCCTTCAACTTGCTTAATTATAAAGTAGTCACTATGAAATTCTTAAGTCCAAAGTATCTTCCTGGCAATGTGTCATGTTGTCGAGAAAAGCCCTCCGGGACCACCAGAAACATGGTATCAAATAAGGAAATTGGGCGTCACGCGTCACCAGACACAAGGGGAGGCTCATTTCTCCGCGAGGAATGGTGTTCTGTCTGCCAAAAAATGCAGTTACATTGCTCTGATACTATTATACATGAGTGCACAAAAAGAATGGAGTGAAATGAGCAACTGTGCCATCTACAAAGGCAATGACCGAGTAGCTGGTGTGACCGAGTAACCGGTTACGGACAGTATGTACTCGCTTTTTTCTTTGTGACGTCTGAGTCGGCCCGGGTGGCGGGCTACCACGTGACGGCGTATTTTCTCCTTGAACCTCCGACGCTCGAAGACAAGTTGCACCGTAACCACCTCCTCCACGAACGTTCTCTAACTTCAATCATACAAAAGTCCATACAAACCTCAAAAGACTGTAATAATGGCATCATTTCTCCGCCGCTTCACGACTGCTGCATCGGCAGGCAAAAACATGTACTTCACTCTCGCTGTTGCTTCTGCTCTTCCGGTATACGCTGTACTCAACAATGATTCTCCTTCTGGCGCTGTGAACTCTAGGGCTAATGTCTTCGTGAGTGTTTTTGTACTCAAGCTGCCTTGAGATAGCTGACAAGTGGTCTGATTCTCTATGCGGTTCTCGTTCCATTCTCGTGACACCAATTGCTCCACTGTTTCTGGTACAGTTCGACGTCGCTATCAACGCGAAACCTTCAGGACGTATCGTGTTCAAGCTCTTCGACGAGACATGTCCAAAAACGACCAGGAACTTCCGTGAGCTGGCAACAGGTCAACATGGGTTCGGATACGCTGGCAGCAGTTTCCACCGTATCATTCCCAATGTGCGTCATATCTGCTCCTCTATCTTCCTTCATGTGCTAAAACCCTGTTTTGTCTGTCTAGTTCATGCTCCAGGGTGGTGACTTCACGAACCACAACGGCACCGGCGGCAAGTCGATATATGGACCCAATTTCCCGGGTGCGTCTCGTCCTTCACTGATTGGAGGACTTTCTCTCTTGCAGCGTGCTCTGCTGTTGATGTTTTGTGCGGTTGCTGACGTGATATGTAGACGAGAACTTTGAGCTGAAGCACTCTGAGCCTGGTCTCCTGTCGATGGCTAACGCTGGACGCAACACCAACGGTTCGCAATTCTTCATCACTACTGTCAAGACCCCTTGGGTGCGTCATTGTCTTCTCTTGCGTGTTGACGCGTAGCTTACGCCGCGAATAGCTGGACGGCCGCCACGTCGTGTTTGGAAAAGTCGTCGAGGGAATGGATGTAGTGAAGGCTGTCGAGGCCATCGGCACAGAGAGCGGACGACCAACCGCGAAGGTCACCATCACTTCGTCTGGTGTTTTGGAGTAGACGGTCTGCTAGATCTTGAAGCTGTACCATCGTGCGTTCATACATTACTAATAATGATACTGAGAGCATTATTGCGCCCTGGCCTTACAGGCTCCCAGGCATCCTTCTCAAGCGGCCTGGATGTTACCTGGATTCCTTTCGGATGACTGGGGGATTTGTTCTCTGCGAACACGTCGCTCTCGGTAATCCAGAGTTTGTTTTGCCTTCACCCCCGGCTCAGAGGATATCCCGTTCACTAGTACTGGAAGCGGAGAAGAGAAGAGGCGATTTTTTTACGTGGATTTGAAATCAACCTAACTTGCAAACTGACTCAGGTTTATATTTAGCTACGCAGAGTACTTCCTGTGATGACCAAGTGTCGGTCAAATTCTAGGTGCTCAATGCGCCACACACATAGGCATCGACCTCGGTGTCAAACTTCCCGAATCTATTCGACAAATCCTCCCTCGAGGCGACGCTCTTCGTGTTATTGCGCGTTTTCAGAGTATCATCATTCCTTCTCACCTGAGCATGCCTTATCCCTCCCGCCAGCACACACCCGCGCTTATGAACACTCTTTACCGAGGTCCTTTCAGATAGATTATTCAGACTGCAAACCGGCTCTTATACAACCCGTCGACTGCGAGAGAGTCATTGAGTGCGGTCCCGCGTCTGAGATAGTGGACCATTAGAACAAAGAAACTATGCCATACTGCAATACTTTCTGACTCCAGTTCCTTCTTCCTGAACCACCTGACGTCCTCTTCACCCTATTCCCGTTACCCGCGTTCTGTGCCGACCGCATCGGCAGGCCTACGCAATCGCTCTTGATCAACGGCCCGAAAAGGGGTATTACTACTCAGGCTGGGGCTAGGAGCAGATATAAAAGGTCGCCGTGTCTCAAATTCCAGGACAACTTCTTGAACCACCACCATCTCGTTGTCGCTAGTGTATTGCAAAACATGTCTACCAACCAAGGAAAGACTATGCCTTACGGTGAGCTCGATATCTTCCTGTGGAGATTGCGGCGTAGTTGATAATCTCTCGCCATTGATAACAGTTCGTCTTGGTTCCTCGGGACTAAAGGTCTCCAAAATCATTCTTGGATGCATGTCCTACGGCTCACCTGAGTGGCAAGCCTGGGTTCTGCCAGAAGAAGAATCAATCAAGCATATCAAGGCAGCGTGAGTGGCATTTCTCAAGGTCTTCTTATCAGATCAATGGCTGACGCTTCCCTGGCAGCTACGATGCTGGTATCAACACCTTCGATACAGCGAACGTAAGTCTCACAGAATTTGCTTCTCTGGAAATTGGGCTAAATCCTTCATTTTCTTGAAAAAAGGTCTATTCAAATGGACGATCAGAGATCATCCTAGGAAAAGCCATCAAGCAGCTCAATCTCCCTCGCGATGAGATTGTGGTCATGACGAAGGTGAGGATACATCGTATCCCAGCGCGTTCCAGACCTGATCGGAATATCTCCCAGGTGTTCTTCACTGTCGGAAAAACCGTGGACACGATAATGTTCGGTGCAGTCAACCCAGATGACCATGGCTACGTCAATCAACATGGTTTGAGTCGCAAGGTATGTTTGAAGACTCCTCTTGCGTCTGCGTTTGCTGATTTTGGGTGATTGAATAGCATATATTCGACTCCGTCAAGCTCAGTCTTGAGCGCTTGCAATTGGACTACATCGACGTCCTCCAATGTGAGCGGGCCGTCGACGTTTAAAATCGATTGCGGTTAACAACTCTTCAGGCCATCGCTTCGATCCCGATGCACCTATTGCTGAGACGGTAGCCCATCACTTGCGAGACAATCACAATACTCTGGCGCTAACATTATCTACAGATGCAAGCCCTTCACGACGTCGTCCAGGCGGGATACGTTCGATACATCGGCATGTCTTCATGCTGGGCTTGGCAATGTAGGCGAATTATTCGTGACTTCCAGCTGAGCCCTATTGACTCATTTCTTTGTCTCAGTCCACGCGATGCAAAGTGAGTTCCTTCATCCTTGGCGGTTGGATGGTGGGCGCTAACTTCACGGATCAATTATAGACTATGCCATCAACAACAACCTGACACCTTTTATCTCCATGCAGAACCATTATAACTTGGTCTATCGTGAGGAGGAACGAGAGATGTTCCCTACTCTTAAGGTTAGTCCTACGCAACGCAACGTTTGTGAGTACCGACTTATAGATGATAGCATCTGGGCGTTGGAGCTATCCCATGGTCTCCTCTTGCTCGCGGTCTCCTTACTAGGCCCCTCAACTCTGAGACCGTCCGCGGTAACACAGACAGGTATTGTGATAATTACCGAATTCGCCACCTAAAGCTGACCCGTTTCGCCAGAATGATCAAAGGATACAACAATAAAGGAATAGAGTGTATTATCAGCTCGTGCGTATCTTTCCATCTGCCGGCTGAGTTCCTCTCTCTGACGAACATGGACTCTCTCAGCGTGCAAAAGATCGCCGAAAAGAAAGGCATTAGCATGGCTCAAGTGGCCCTCGCCTGGATCATGGCCAAAGACGGCGTCTCGGCACCTATCGTGGGAACCACCTCGCTAGAGAATCTGAATGACCTCCTCGGTTAGCGCCATTTTTTCGTCTCATTGACCACTCAATTGACGCCGTGTTAGGCGCCGTGAATGTCAAACTTACGGACGAGGAGATCAAGGAGCTCGATGCCCCTTACGAGCCCCAAGCAACGTTCGGGCATGACTAGAGACGGCCTGATGGACGAGCGTACGAAAAAACGACGGCGTTTGTAAACCTCCAGTATCCAGTACAATGTCTTATCCAAATATACATGTGTGAGCCACGACCCACGAGCGTGGTTCCTTATACTCGGTTTGAACTGCCATGAAATCAGAGCTAGACCCGTATGTACCTTTGAAGGATCTGTTGCTTTGACGTTGCATCACATCCTGAGTGAACACAAAATATAGAAACGGCGCCGAGATCCCAGTCGCTCAATCGGGCAGCACAACTGGCGCTCATCGCGTGCGGGGAAACTGCAATCACCCCCGAGAAACCCCACCGCATTAGCGTTCAGAACGTATCATACCTCGAACCCAAGGTTCGATGCCATGCATTTCTGGTTTTTATGCAAGGTATCGGTGTGCACTGAACGGTTCGGGCGTCATATCAGCGGCCTTTGCGGTGACTAAGTTGGCAATCCCCTTTTCCAGCCAAATTGTCGAGCGCTAAAGTTTCCCAAAATTTTTGGTATCGCCCACATTTGTACCAGCGATCCTGTCGACCATGCGGCTCGTCGATTGTGACGATAAGTAGCACAGAGCCGAAGAGCCTACTTTTGGCACAGAATAGCCTTATTGCTTTCTGCTTGGTGATGGTTATCCTTTTGCTCCAACCACGCTTTATTGCTCATCCTTACTTGCAGAAAAAAAAATCGACAGCATAATAAATAGTGGTCCCACTAACTTGTTCGCGCCGTGCGCAGTGGTGCTAGACATCTTGACCGAGCGAGGGATGGGATAGGGAGAAAGTTGCAGGAGGTTTCTCTTCAAACATGACTTATAAAAAAGGTTGACCGTTGTTATTATATCGAGAAAGTGAAGGACATAAGTATTGCGAAGATGTGGTATAACTGGCAAAGGCACCGGGCGCTAAATTTTCCCCCATTTCTTTTTATCTTATCATTTATCTTGGTGCACAGCCACCTGGGTCATCGAAAGTTTACGATCAAAATACCCTTCATTCCATCCTTGAGCTTGAACATTGGAACCGCTGTTGAACGCTCCCACCTACTCGGACATGGTAGAGGTAATTCGATTTCTCATTCGTGTCCCCGTTACTAACAAAGGCACAACAACTATCAGGGAATGGAAGACACCAACGACCCTGCTGACCGGTTCAACCGCCATTTTGGAACCAATTATGCCCCGACGGATAAGGATGTCGAAGAACTGAGGGCCATTCTGAGAGGTTCGGATTGTCAGATACAGGCGCTTGACGAGGAGATCGAGCAGAAAGAGTCGGAGTTGGAAGAACTACGCGGACGCCGGGCAGCGATCATGGAGGCGACCAGAAACCACCGTACCCTTCTCGCACCGATTCGACGAATTCCACAGGACTTACTGCAGGACATCTTCGTCGCCTGTCTCCCGGAGGATAGGAATCCAACCATGAGCGCCGATGAGGCGCCAATGCTTCTCACGCGCATCTCGAGCCATTGGCGCCAGGTCGCCCACCTCACACCTCGGCTTTGGGCTTCCATCTACATTCCTGTCCCATCCATCCCTCTCCAATGGGTCGATCAGAGACAATTGGGCCCCGAAGCCACCGAGAGCCTTATCAACCAGCGCATCGAAGGCGTGAAGGTATGGATACAGCGTTCACGCGCCTGCCCTCTTAGCATTCGCATATATGAATGCGATGGAAACGCAGGAAGCCCTTTGGAGAGATTCCTGACGGAGTGCCTCATCCCCGTCTGTGAGAGGTGGAAGGATCTGACCCTGATGGGAGACACACACTCCTTTTACCCGCTTCAACAACTTGCCGCCTCTGAACTCCCTTGCCTGAAAAGCCTCAGCCTTTCTTTCTATGGATCAGGCGGCATGTGGTGGGGTAATCCGCAACCAGCGTCGGCTAATTCCACGAGTTTTTGGAAAGCGAATGGATTGTTGGGAAGTGAGCTGCTCACTTCGCTCCAGATCTTGAATGTGGTCAACGTTCAGTTTGGGGTGGTCGCGATTTTCCAACCGTCGATTTTGTGAAGGCAGCTCTTCGTCAATCCTTGGTCCTCGAAAATCTCACCTTGCGAATACGATCATCCGGCTTGGATCAAGAAGACTCCAAAAACGAGGAGCCACCCATAGAACTTCCCTTCCTCACACACCTGGACGTTGATGAACAACCGGGCTGCAGCCTGCTGCCTCTCTTGCGCACGCCGTCCCTTGTTTCTGTGACCTACCGCGGCAGTGGCAATACTCTACGACCATCATCGCTCTTTCAATTCTTGAACGTGAACCCAGGTGCAAACGTAGAAGAACTCTACACGGATAACAAAACTGTGCCCAATGAGCAGATCCTCGACTGCCTACGGCTTTGCCCTGCCCTTCGACTCCTCCGCCTAGGTCATGGTCGTCAAGCATGGCCAATGTCCGCCGGCTATGAATCAATTGACATAATTGCCAACGAGTTGTTCTCCCCTCTCGCTACGCCTTTGAAGATGGAGGACGTCCTTTGCCCGCTCCTTGAAGGTATCGAGTTTGTACAGGAGACTAATTTATCCGAGATGGTGGTAATCGACTTCATCAAGGCAAAGCAAGAAAGCAAAGATCCTCGCCTGAGAAAGCTTCGGAACATCAAAGTGACGTTTGGGCAGAAGAGGCGAGAGGGCGAGGATATGATGTCCACTATAGCGCCATACGTCGACGCAGGCCTCAAAGCAACATTCGTATATCGACACGCCACTTACAGGAGCCCGGTATCTCTTTATGACGGATTACCCACCAATTTTACATGGGGGTTAGCATAGGTACATACGACAAGGAGGAGACAGATATCCACTTGACTAGATTGTCGGTTTCCTGTCGTGAATTCCCAAAACAAAAAAACCTGACCGTTTTCACCATGATCAAAGGATACAGGACGCATCGTACGTATCCTTCAACCATTGGACGTGAAAGCACTCTGGAGGAATATGAAATCTCCCAGCGTACAAAAGATTGCTGAGAAGAAAGGCATTAGCATGACCAAGTTGTCCTCTCCTGAGCCATGGCCAAAGACGGCGTCTGGGCGCCTATAGTTGGGACGCATATTTCCTCGGTTAGAACAAGTTATTTTGCACTTCCTCGAGTGCCCAATTGACGCCGACTTGTGCGCCATCCAATGTCGAGCTCACGGAAGAGGAGATCAAGGAACTTTCAGCCATGTCTAGGCGGCTGGGACACGACAAACGAGCCAGGAGGCAACTGTAAATGATGTTTGTAACTCCTCGCACTGGGTACAAAGCTTTATTCAATGTAAGAACTCTCAAAGCGGTTCTTTGCGATCAATCTGAGCTACCGAAAACTGTCAGCATTCATCCTCCCAGAACATGGAATGGCTCACCTGTTCGTGGCGTTGGCAAAGGCCGGGATTCTCCACTGCCAGGAGCATTAGGTTCGGGTATAGGTTGAGGCGCAGGAGGCCCATCATATCCTGGTGGCGGTTCGAAATCGACAGCATTCGTTCCGTAAGCTTGCCTCTCTTCCATCTGTTGAATCTGGTTCCTGAGAGCCTCGAGCTGAGCTGCAAGGTCCTGGTCTCTTGGAGGTCGTGAGGAGGTCGTGCTCGCGGCAGTGATACTCGATGGTAGGGACATTGACGCAGTACCCTGCGACCCAGAGTTGTTGGTACGGTTCTCTAGCTCTGCTATCTCTCGATTGATGCGCTCTCGTTCTCGTCTGAGTAAGTCGGTGCGAGCCTCGGGCGACATTGGCGAGGTAACGGACACCGACGAGCTCCCCTCTCCTGCAGCTCCATACCCCTTTCCCAGCAATACATGGGATTTTGACGGGAGAGGGCCAGCTTGACGATTGACTGCGGTGCTGGGAGCCATGCTACTGGGATAAATCGAACCACCTTCTGGGTCGGCGAGCGCTCCCAGTCCCTCCATCGAGCGCGGTGAAAGCGTATATGGTTGCACAGATCCTGAGTTGGCCTCGGAAGTGGGCAACACACTCTCAGCGACTTCGCCAGCTCTTCGTTGACGCCTTCGCCAAAGAACGATTCCGAGTACGACCAGCACTAACAAGCCGCCGAGAACGCCTCCTACAATACCCCCCACCGGAGGACTTGATTCGGAAGAAGTCGAGGTATCTGAGCCGGCTGCTCCGGCGGTGTTACTTGTTGAGGAGCCCGACGACGTGGAAGTCGTTGTGAGGCCCGTGAAAGTTGGCAAGGGGGTTGCTGGTAGCGAGGTTGCGCTAGGCGAACGATGAGACACAAGAGCGGTATGAGCAGGAAGGAGCTCACCTTGAAGATGACGCCGAGGCGGTGCCAACGGGAAAAATCTCAAACTGCGGGGAGTCCGCCAGGAATTGTTTCGTACTAGATCACTGCGATCAGCGACAGGGAGGTGGAAGAGTGGATTATGGAGAACGCACGAAGTTGCCACCAATCGAATCATGTACATCCTATTCCGATCGTGCCTTGAGATCCTTAGCACGTCGCAAACCGTGTCGCCACTCACCCTGGTGGAACAAATGGAATCGTGAAGCCCGCATTGGCATCGTCCTGCTTTGTCAAATCGCTATCGCCAAATATTGTTGTAGTGTTCCCCCGCGTCGCGCTGATGAGCAGAATATCGACAAGGACGACCTCTCCCTCCGTATGCTGGATGTTGTAGAAGATAGTACCGCCAGGTACTGGTCGGTTGGTTTGCCATGGCTCAGTGGTAATGACGTAGGAGAGACACCCGGGGAACAAAAGAGTGACGAGAAGAATCCATCTGCATTTGCGGGCTGTTTAGCTGAGAAATGGGGGAAGTGAATATCAACGTACCTGAAGACTATCAACATAGAGCGAAGTCTATGGACAAGAGATGCCGGAGGCCAATTGTCTGCTGGACCGCAGCAGTCGGCGACTCAGCGTCGAGGAAGATGGTGGAAGAAAAGCAAGAGACGTTTTGCAATCAGCGTGGTGCGTGAACCGAAATGCAGGGCCTAGTGTAACGCCATTTATCCTGCCTCAAACTTCCCCTGGATCCCCGACACGTTTTGGCTCTTGGGAGCATGTGCTTAACAAGCACCGTGTATGGCGGTTTCCACTGCTGCCCCTGCGATATGCAGTCCTTCTGGTTGAATCCGTTGGGCTGGGGTGGATTGGCGGGCTATTCGGTGCAGGAAGACGTTCCGCCGTGCTGTGTCGTTTATCAACGATTCGTTTCGGAGGTTTGCGGTGCCAATTCGGACATCGAATATGTGCATTGTGTAGGCCAAAATCCGCTGACGGTCGGACAGGAAAGAACCCAGAAAATGTCGGAAAGCTCTGATACTCTTCCGCCACATATTCAGGCGATTCTCAATGTTCAAGCTCAAGCTCAAGTGCGAAAGAGGCGGGCAAAAAGTTGGGAAATTGTCGTGGAACCTAGGCCCTCCGGACCTGATGTGATGCCAAGAATAGCTGACAAAGTCGCGCGCTTGGCGTACGGCCCGATTTTGGAAGGATCGGCACTGGATCGGCGTTTGAAGGAATTCCGCTTGAAGTTCAGAGTTGAAGTCGATCTTCCAACGCTCGAGACTCCGAAAGACATCGAATAATAAATTCATATGTCCCTTGCAGTAGCCCATGAATATCAAAGCTTTATTCCGACTTTTATTTAGATTGTCTCTGACGTGAGTATTTCGTATCTACAAAGTGACATGGACGAGGTGGTGTCAAAAGGGAGTGGACGAATTATATGTGTATCAGTACAACGAATAGGTATATGCAAATATGAAGAACGATACCGCAGTCCGTACTATGTCCTGCTCTTCTCTGTTGTCCTTGTTCTATCGTATGCCATAGCGACATATTCCGGTGGGGGCTCCGAATTATCCTGCGTGCCAGACGCTTCATTACTTATCGTTCCATTGCGTGCCACCTGCGCTTCCACATGTCGAATGTGCTCCTTCAGCGCGTTCAGCTGCTCCAGCAAGCTTTGCTGCTGAAATCCAGGCGAAAGAAGCGGGTTGGCCGACGACGGCGAGTTGTTGTTATTGTTCGCCGCCATCAACGCGAGCTCCTTCGAGCTCGGCTTCATGAGGAGCGTCGTCGAGCTCTGGGGTGAGAGGTAGGAGTTGGCGGACGTCGGTGCGAAGACGTACGGCTGGATGCCAGACTGGTTCGGTGCTGTGTTGATGAGCAGCTGCGGAGGGACGCCGAACGGTGCTTCAATCCGCCCTTTTTCTTCCTCGCGGAGGAACCGCCGCCGTCTTCGCCAGTACAGGAAGCATCCCGCCAGGACGAGCAACCCCAATATGATACTAGCAATCACCGCGACTTTGGTCAAGGGTGAAGAACCGGATGATGAAGCGATGACGGGAAAAACTCTGGTGGGCACTGGGTCGATTGCTGAGCCGGATGCTCGTACTGTGACTGACGACTGCGTGGCTATAGAGTTGTTGATGGATATTGCAGATATGGACGCGGAGGTGATAGAGATGCTTGTAGTTGAGGAGACGAAGACAGAACTGGTACCAGCATCTACGAGGATGCTGGCGGAATCAAAGGGCGACGAAGTCGGTGGTGACGTCGTTGAGGTTGTTGAGGTTGACGATGTTGTACTAGGAGAGTTTGTAACATCAGGCGAATTGGTAGTGCTGCTAAGGGTGGTCTTTCAGTCCTGACAGAAGAGAAATTGGAATAACAATGACGCACTCCTGCCTCCGGTTTACCTCCTCGTCTTCTACATCTTCTGAATCAAACGCGTCCCGGCGATAGCGAAAAGGTGAAGGTGATGCATGCGTGAGGCTGAGGGATAGTGTGATGCAAGGAGCGACTTGAGTGAAGAGATTTCGGGATTTAGAGGCCATGTTTCAGGACGGGTTGGCGTCGACGGATGATCTACCGGGCTTCAAAGTCTGCGCGCTATGTTTAGAGCCCACAGCTGGCAGCATACGGATGTCGAAGGCGAAGGACAGGGAACTGCAGTGACCAGCAAAGCGCGTCGAGAGTGATGGAGTAGTGGAAAGAGAGGTATCGTTCAGGCTCGAAGGCCCCGCCGATCTGTGGTGCCGACATTGCTAGTACTACTACCGCGAGAGTCGGGAACGGCGGGCAAAGGACACCGCTCAATGATGGGTCCCACATTCGCGCCTGGGAGACTAATGGGCGTCGTTAGGCAACGTCAAGCGTGGCGGTGGAAGTCTTTCCTTATTGGCTTCTCCGCAGCAACCTCCCTTGACTGCGCCGCGAAAGAACGCATTATAAAAACGCGAAAAATAGAACGTCGATCCGTTCTACTGTTGACCTGAAAATCCTGGATCGATTCGTCTCGCAATCGCGCCAAATCATCCTTTGTGCTGATCGTTGTCGCGGTTCTTGAAGTCGGGCTTGACGCGCCCACAGGAACATTGCTTCCTTCTTCCTAGTGTCTCTAACGCCCGTTGATAACGATCAACGTGGCCTTCTTTTACCTGTCAAACCTGGGTACTAAGAGGCTGTTCAAGCTCACGCGGGACAAGGATGGTGGTATACGAAGGAATCCAGCAGAATAATACATGAGTAAGAGTACAGTACTTGGTCAGATAAACGAGGGACATTACTGGAGAGAGAGTCCTATGTGCATGAAGCGCAGAAACATTGAGTCTTGCTATTACCGTCATGCGCAGGAACGTGGTCTATGGAGCGCGAAGGAACGTATTCGGGAGGTGGGTCTGCTGATGATGATCCTGAGGCGGGACGAAGACGAGACTGTTCGCGTGCGTGGAGGTCTTCAAGCTCCTGGATTCGTGTTTTCAGGGCTGTTAGTTGTTGAAGGATGTCGCGTGTTGTGATGTCTGAACCAGGATCGGCGAAGGGGTTCGAAGAGCTCTGCAGAAGCTCGCTTCGTCTCTCCAGCGCCGCAATTTCTTCGTACACACGCGCCCGCTCTTTCTTCAGCATCTCTGGTTGCGAGGATGCCGCGGGCGACGATGGAGATGATTCGGGAAAGAGAGAGTTGTGGGAAAACCGTCGTGACTTCGAACTTGAAGAACCTTTCAAGTCCGAGGATATAGCATACTCCTTCGAACCCGCCTCCAAGTCCTTCGGAATCGGTAGCTCTGACGACGACGCAGAGGGAAGCGTGACATAGGGCTGCTTTGCGACCGACCGGGTCACCGTTGCTCTTTCCATGTTCGACAGCACTTGTTGCTGCCTCGCCTTCCGCCGTTTAATCCGACACCTCCTCCACAGCCACAAGCAACCTGCAACACACAGGGCGAAGAAGGATAAAACGCCAAATACAGGGCCAAGGATGGCAGTGATGGGGCGCGGTGGAGGTGCGGTGGGGGAAGTAGCACTTTGATCGATTGGAATCGAAGTTGTGGCTTCCGTCGCAAAGGAGCTCCCAGTAGTGGAAGATATGATGAAAGTCGTACTAGCCACTGTGGCGGATAATCGAGACGTCAACGATTCGAGTGTTGGAAAGATCGGGAATGGGGATGAGTCTTGAAGGAGCTGTTCCGAGCTTCCATGAGACATATATCAGTGACACTGCAGGTAGTAGATAGAAGTGGGCATACTTTGGTCGTTTCAATCGAACTGCAAACGGATACCTAGGCAGAAATACCATAAGGCTGATGCATGTACAGTGTGAAAATGTTGTATACACACCCTGGAGGAACCTGAGGCACTGTAAACGTGAAACTGCTCCCTTTGGGATCCAGGCGAGCTCCGATCGACAACGGCACTTCCTTGTTTACGCTGCCATCGAACAAGAAGATGTCTACGACTTGAGGATCGCCACGAGCTGGGTCGATATTGGCGAAGAGGTTTTGAGATACGCGACAGTTTCCATCTGCAGCTTCGGGTTTAACGTCAATGGTGAAGCCAGCACACTGTTGAACGACGAGAAAAAGGAGGGTGGCCAATGAAGGGGGTCTACAGAAGGCATAAATATGAGCCTGAGGATTCATTGAACGGCTTACAGATGATTAAGATGCATAATGACAGAGAAAATCAAAGGTGCGAGCTCATCATCGACGACGACGACGACGAAGAAGCGGTGAGAATCGCACAAGCTCCATTGACAACGCTAGTGATAATTCGGCAATCACCGATATTTTCAGCAAGGTTCAAGCTCCGACATCAGATGACGGTGCCGGTACGGCCCGCGAGCCCTCGGAGAGCACCATCGAATACCCTCAGCCCCCTCTCCTGGTCGCCACGCATTCAAGGCGATTCTATAAGCAGAAACGGTCAGAAATTGAATGCCGAATTACTTCTTGTGCTTACTCAAGTCCGAGTCAGGGGTTTTTCAATCCTCGACTCGTCAATTTTGACTGTTCTCATTCTTCATTCTGGACAAGGTTAAGATTTCTCGATGCACGGACCACACATCTGAATATGCTGCTGTGCCCACCAATTCTTCGACGCGTCCTGCCTTTTCGTTTGCCGACCAAGTTCGATCACCATGCGCGAGCTCGAAGAAGACCACGATGAATAACCATAGAGACTCCGCGATAGTTCCCGGGTCAAATTATGCTAGCTCTATATAAGCATTTTTCACGAGGTGCTTTATCCTCGCTCTCAATTCTTCTTACGATTTTCAACGCTCGACGTCCAGCACAGGTCGAATCCGAAGAATGAGGTTCTCTAAGTGTCTCGTTTTCCAACTCCTTACGCTCTCTACCACCACTTTCGCTTCCGAGTCCCTTCTTAAACCCTACGTCTTAACGAACAACATCGCTGGGCTTGGGTTCTTCGCTCATTTTGACTGGCAGGCCATCGATGATCCTACTCATGGGCGAGTGTAAGTGAGGTGTTTGGACAGCCAATTCGTTGATATTCTGACAGCGTTAACCCGTAGAACTTACGTCGACAAAAAGACTGCCATCCAGCAGAACTTAACCTATGCCTCCTATGACTCGTTCATCCTCCGGACGGACTCGAAAACGGTTTTGGATCCTGCTGGCCCTGGCAGGAATTCTGTCCGTATCAGATCGAAAAGGACGTATGAAACCCACGTCGCAGTGTAAGTCTACACTCTTCTCCCATTAATATTCATAGGTTGAACCGGTAGACACGTAGCTTCGACGTCCGCCACATGCCCCAAGGTTGCGGGTGAGTAGCCCCATGGTCCCGAAATTATTCGGCTCTAAAGGCCCTTCGAATAGAACGTGGCCTGCCATCTGGGAAACGAAGGAGATCAACTGGCCGGATGGTGTATGTCTTATCCTATGTTTCCTATAGGCCCAACAGCCCTCTGACGGATATTCGGCCGCGCAGGGCGAAATCGACATCCTCGAGGGTGTCAATGACCAAGCTCCGAATAGTGCCACGATCCATACCAGAGCAGGTAGGCCCAACCGAACAATGTCTCTTGGTACTCCAATTGACTGACGGTATAATTTGCCAGGCTGCAGCATGCCCGAGACTCGTCTGCAAACCGGGTTAGTCATAATTCTTTCGCAATCTTCTCCGTGGTTCTGAGACGAATTTTGGCAGAACGTCAGGACAGCTCGATTGCGACTGGCTGGTGAACTTCAACACGGGCTGCGGCGTCAAATTCCCGACGAAGGCGAGCTATGGCCCGGACTTCAACGCAAACGGAGGTGGATGGTGCGTCACTGTTAGAGCCCGCTCTGCCTTCCACCAAAGTCTGACGTTAGATGTGACTCAAGGTTCGCTATCGAACGTACTGATGAGCACATCAGCGTGTGGTTCTGGGACAGGCAGGGCAATACCGTCCCTAGAGACGTCAAGCGGGGCACGCTCCTCGTCGACCCGAAGAAATGGGTAGGTGGTTCCACGCCTACATGAAATTGTGATATTCACGGCCCTGTAGGGAGTTCCGTCCGCTCATTTCCCCAATACCTCCTGCGACTTCACCCAGTTCTTCCAGGAGAACCACATCATCATTAATCTAACGCTTTGTATGCCTTCTCTTCCTAATTCTCGAGGCTCTCTCATCCTGGCATTTTCTAGGCGGTGATTGGGCCGGCAACGCCTACGGTGCAACGGGATGTCCTTCAACCTGCATCGGTATGTTTCATTGACGTATCTTCAAGAAGTGCGTTGGATATTGACGCTGTTTCTAGATCATGTAAATAGCAGCCCAGAGGCTTTCACCGAAGCGTACTTCGACATAGGTTCCATTCGTATCTACGAGCACCTCTAGACAAAGGTGCTTGAACCAGTGATTCGAAGAACCCATTCAGACCTTTCTTTATTCGTTCCCGTCCATATTTTATCTAAGATCATGTCTAATTCTCGAGATCTTATACAACACTAATTTCTGTGTCCCCCACTTGCTTCTTTATGTAGTCGAAACGGCATTGTCGGGAAGCCTTTCAACGGCATCGCTATGCTTAGTCGACTAAATGTCTTACCATCAGACAGATTTACCTCTTAATCCTGAAGCCTCCATCGGTCCTCCGTCGAGTAGTAATCAGATAATGCCCTCAAAAACGGATATTGTATTGTTTACTCATCGCCCGATTTTTCCAACCGGTCCTCCATAACTCACAGTGATATAGATCATTCCCGAAGGTGCTTTGACCATCCCTGACTCCAAAAAATCGCTCTCCGTGTTGGCTATCTCCCTCGAGGCTCGGTGAGGGTTTTTCTGGAGACGCTTTGTCAGCCGCTGATTACCGATCAAACCTCCTGATCAGGCTGGGCTTTCCTAATTGGTGCCGCAAAAATCCCTCAACTCCCACAAGGGATCCACAACCCAAATAGCCGCCAACACCGCGAGAGGATAAAAGGCGGACTGAAAGGCCTCAATGCTCCTCAGAAATCCCCACAACCCACGTACAAATCGTCTCAACTATCAGTTCTAACAAAGCTCGTCTCTTCGACCTTTAACTTCGACCATGCTCTTCGTGCGTCTTCATCATATATCGCAACCTCGCATTAACCGTTACTATTGTGTTTCTAGGTCGCTCAAGTCCCTGTGTCTCAAGCAGGCTGTGACGGCTGCACCTGCACTCAGTGCAACTGCTGTGACAAGTGAGTCGTGATCACAACAGTGTTTGAAGCCTTAGTTCTAACCGGCCCACTCTGCTTCCAGCTGCAACTGCTGCAGCAACCCCGTCTCCCAGTCCTCTGCGGGATGCGGAAGTGCTGATTGTACTTGCACCTCGTGAGTTTAATCCCCCGTTTAGAAGCGCTAAGACTTGTTACTGACGATGGGATTTCAGGTGCTCCTGCAAGGCGGGCGAATGCAAGTGCTAGATCAGCGACGATCGTTTCCACTCTCGATAATAAGTAGCCCAGTAGTAATCCACTTCGAAGCGTGGAGGCACACGGTACATGCTTAGAATACAAGATGAACTGTATGACTGCGACCCTCATCTGAACATTGTATTACTTTTGGCTTTCGCCAGCAGGCTTTGGCTTTGTCCCTCATCCACGGCCATCCATCACATCGGAAATTATATCCCGTTCAACATTGGTTCAACAACGTAAAAAATATGTAGGTTGTTGCATGACATTACTCAAGAGAATCGCGAAGAAATCAGACTTGTAAATTTTCCCTCATTTATGGGAATCAATGCGGAGCCTTTGCACGAAAATGCTCCTGCTCTTGCACTGATCGTGCCGCAATCGGAAAGCCATCGTTAGATATGGGCGCTTAAATAGTCCCTCCATGAGCTGAGGTGTAAACACAGCTGCTTAGCACATAAACGGATTCTCGATATTAATGGACAGATCGTCAAATCTGCTTCAGTGGGCAGCTAGGGGAACTGTAGAATCAATGTAAGGTTGTTCAGTATACCCTCCTCAATGACGGGTGGTTGATTTCGAAAGAGTATCTCTTTCTCGTTGTCCAGGAGTGAACAGCGCCCATTAATGGAGAGTGCCGGGGAATGCCATGGCCTTCACTAACTATCGGTTCTCTACGTTCCCAGAAAATAAGGTGCTCGCCTTTGAATGTAAGCAGACTGAGGACGGCGTCTTTCAATGTTCCCACTTGCCGTCGTCCGGGTTGCATATCCAGATGCTATATACCAATCTTGACCTTGACTCAGACTTGGAACACTTCATCGTACATTGGGTGCCTGTGGGCAGGCACGAGAACGGCTTCGAGCCACTGATGACTGCTCATCGATCATCGTTTGTCTCTTAGCGCCACATCCGAGGGATTCGAAGAATCGAAGAATCTTAATGTCTGATATGAAATGCATAGCATGAATCTCCAGGTTCGACGCTCGCATTTGACGAATCCGAGGCAGGATGCCTGGATGCTATCGAAATGGGGCCTGACCTAGCACAAATTTTCACCCATCCCTCTAATTGGTAGTGATAATTATTCACAGAAAAATCCAGCTAACGGGGCGGCAAATTTCTTCTTCGAAGTTCTATAAATAACGAACCGGCGCCGGCGATGGAAGACCAGTCACAGATGTGCTATCTTTATGACACGTCAAGGATCCGAGTGCCATTTGAGCTTGAGGAGTCAGGTTGACCACAATCACATTTGAACAGCCCGCTATTGCAACTCTTCCCTTCTATCTGATTCCCCACTTCGTCAACATGTCTAGTAGCACTCCACACCGACACGCCTCGGATAGGGAATTGGGAGCACCATTCATTGGCTATGCTGTTGGGGCCGTGTAAGCCGAATTCGAGACGATTTTTTCGCAACCAGATGCCTAAATCCCCAATTTTGAACAGGCTATTCGGTATCACTGTCCTCCAGGTTTATCAGTACTTTACCAACTACGCCAAAGACTCGAGGCTAAGAAAGTGCTTTGTGAGTAATCGATATCGCAACCTTGTTCAAATGAATCTAATTCTTCCTGTGAGATAACCCTTGTTTGGTAAGCGCTTATTTACCAAGGCCGGCAAGAGCGTGCCTTACCTTCTCCTCCCCTCCGGTTGTCCTTGTAGTATTCTTGACCTTTCGAGTATGATCATAGGGACGAAGATGCTCTATACCATCATGATTACCTATGGGTCCGAATCCAGCTCTGTTGGAGAGAATGATAGGGTCGTAAGGTATGTCTCTTGATCTGACAATCCAATCACACGGTCAGACCGGTTTGACGACACCTAGAATCTTTAAGGTTGAGTTCAATCTCTTCGAGAAGAGTCATGCTTCGTGGTAGATCTGAATGATCTTATTCAGGCATTGAATACAGTAAATGTACTCTATCTTCATCGTATTTTGGTCCCACATATTGACGAATATTTGTATTTCATAGGTCAGCATGGTCATGTCAGTGCAAGGGTGCGCATGGTATACTTTCGAAGTCATTCCCCCATCTTATTTCAGTCAGCTTCTACATGTATCAAATATGGAGGTGTGAGTTCGAACAAAGCTTTATTTAATTCATGCTGCGAATATGGGGCTCACGGAACTGCAGTGTCCCAGAATCTCTATTTGAGTCGGACATTCGGGCGCCTGGTGAAGGTAAGCTCGGGCATCTTGTCAATTCTCTTAATGATCATGAACAAGCATAATAAAATGACAGGTCATAGTAGCATGCACGATTGCTTGCGGGATAGGTATGTCGTCGACTCGTCTACGGAGTACAACCGCCGTGTAGAATTGAGCTTCGACATCTTCGGTCTTATAGGTGCCGGAACAGGTAAGAACTGCGAGGAACCAGAAATAATAGTACTTGACATTTTTAACTTCTTTCCTAGTGTTTCTCACCAATGTGTGAGTCCAAAAATTCTGTTCCTCGAAGCACTCACCTGTAGTCTTCTTAACACAGCGAACAAGTCCATTCTGTGCATACCTTCACTCCTGCTCAAATGGTCTGCTGTATTCTAACATTATGCGGCCGCACAAGAAACGAGACCTGACCTCTTCCCCCGTAGAATGTCTTTTATTTCACCCTTTCAACGACGGCCTTCATTGATACTACGCTTGGGACGACTATGGCCTCCGTCCTGTATCACGGCCGTCCAGAAAATAGAAGGTCAGTGATCTCTGAGATTTGTGTAACTCTCTCGATTAACCCCCTTCATGGTTTCAGATTGTTAGACATCGTCAAATTCCTCGTCGTCTTCTTTGTGGGCACTGGGCTTCTGACTGGGTAAGAGCTAATTATACTCTCTGACCGGTCAGTTTTACTTTACCGTCAACAAGTATTGCGCATGTAATCATCCTCGCGTTGTACACCATTCTACCTGAAGCCCTGCTCTACATGAGTGTGCAACTATCTGTGACGAGGCGTAAGTGTAGCCTAGCCGTGTAGTCTGAACTTTGTCTCCGATTAACTGATTCCTTGCACAGTATACGCCAACTCAATCTTGGCACTGTTCGTTATCTGGTTCCAAGTGGCAAGTCATGCTTTGGAACGATAATACTGACAATTTCTCCAGATTTAATGCGAAGAAAGGATTAAATGAAAAGCTGGAAGATCCCACAGACCTCGATCTACCCGCTAGTGCGCTGTTATTTGGAGAAAATGGCGGAGGCCCTCCTAGTAGCTCTACTGAATGATTTCCATTACCAACTGATATCGGCGATAGGATGCCATCTCCGTGCGGTGGGTTCGCACGTAAGTGCGAGAAAGGACTGTGAGACACGGGCTTACGAATGCTACACTTCTAATTCAATGACTATCTCTCGTCTCGTAGTAAAGAGAATAGACTTTTCGGAAGTGGTGTTGGTCTTGTCCGAGGTTTTTCCGTGGTATTGCCGACGGGCCGGGAATTTAAGCGCCCGAATGTGGGTCGTATATGTAGATCGTCAGTTGAAACTCTGGAACAGATACTTTGATTAGGCCTAAATGTCACTACATGGAGAAGCGAGACACTATAACTTGCACAAATGTATTTATGTTGAAGTAGGATGCGTAGAGACGACCCAACTTGGACCAAGATGGAGGCTCTATGGACCAAAACGTAGGTGTGGGAGTGTTCGAGTGCCTTGCGTCTCTCAGTTGTATTATATATCTCCGAGGCCTAGGACCGCTATCAGAAGGTAAGATGTTGGTATACTTCTCTCTGGCCTGGTGGTGTGATCACAAGGCGGAGTCAAGTGTCAAGAAAAGGTGTTCAAGAACTTACAGCTCCCTATGCCATATGATCAGTGAGGAGCTCCGGTTTCCATTTAATCCGGTGTGGATATCTATTTAAGAGCGTCGTTGACGACCTTGAGACGAAACCCAATTGTTCTCTCCTAAACGGCGGAAGAGGAAATTCCACTAAAGGTGAGGGTCAACTATTGAAGTTGCATGCAGGGAACTTACCTTATCTTCTTCCTAGCCATCCATACCCCACAAAACACATTCGAGATGTCCGGACTGACCTACGTTAATGGCTCCTGCCATTGTGGACTCAATGTCTTCCGCGTCGGCTTCCTCACTTCCCTACTCCCGCTCTCCATCGATCTTTGCCACTGCTCCATATGCCGCCACACCTCTGGACAACTAGCTTTTGCACATGCCCCCATCTCCGGCTCCCCGCTGGCACGCCCTTCTACCCCGGCAGAAGGCGATCCCAACGTTCCTCCTTTCGACTTAGTTGGTATGACTGGATACCAGAGCTCTCCCAACGTCACACGCTATTTCTGCAAGGCGTGTTCTGCACATCTCTTCCGCGCACTGAACGACAACGAAGTAGATGGGGGAAAGAAGTGGGCGGTCGCGGCTGGGGCGTTGGAGACGACGAACGGAATACTGAATGTTTCGCGTCACACCTGGGTCTCTGACACTCTCGACGGCGGTATTGCAGATCACCTCAGGAGGATCGAGGGTGTGGGTGCGCTTCCAAGATACAAGGAGGGCCCGGGTAGTCCAGGGGTGCCTCTCGGTTGGGACGTCGTAGAGGCCAAACAGGGCGACATCCCCCTTCTCAAAGCCTTCTGCCATTGCCGTGCCTTGCGCTTCGCCATTTCGCGGCCGACGGACAAATCTGTCTTATCCGAGATTGGCGCATCCAGCTACCCCGACCTCATGTACGCCTACGTTTCGACCGACCCGTCCAAGATACAGAACCCCCACGGCGACCCGTGGTGGCTCGCCCCGCACGACTCCCCGACGAAGACGAAGTACCTCGCTGGTCACTGCACCTGTACGACTTGCCGTCTCACCAGCGGGTCCGAGGTCCAATCGTGGACATTCGTTCCCCTTATCAACATCCTCGTCCCCAGCCCGACAGCACCATCGGAGGCGGACGAGTGGGTCCCCCTTTGCTTGTTGAAGGACGAGGAGAGGCCGAAGGGATTGACGCAATACAACTCCAGCCCTGGGAGGTTCCGCGAGTCTTGCTCGACGTGTGGTGCGACGGCGTTCTGGTGGAGGAAGGGGGTGCCGGATCTCATAGATTTCTCCGTCGGTTTTCTGGACGAGCGCATCGCTGGAACGAGGGCCGAGGCTTGGTTGGACTGGTGGACCGGTCGAGTCAGCTTCGAGGAAGAAGCTCTCTCGCATGACATCGCGAGCGGTTTGGAGGAAGGGTTGAAGGAGTATGCGAATAAAGCGTAAAGGATTGTATCGAAGTAGACTCTTGTGTATCTGTACGCGCGTCCGCAGTAGCTTGACTGTTCTTTCAGTGTACTTCTAGTTGGCTTGTACTCTTGTAAGTGAATGGCGAATCATACTATGTACAGGTTGAATGCCGTGATGTATTGAACCTTCATTTGACAGATTTATCGTCCTGCTACTAGAGGCTGACACGTTTTGGTGAATGTACAACCAATGTTTACTCCTGTGCGCCTACTTGTCATAACTGCCAATAAGTCCATCAGAAATTGAACTCGGCACATAGCTCCTGTCTGACGTGACGCGTCTGTTTGGCACCAAATACCTTACATCATGATCAACGCATCAACGAACATACTCAGCATCCGAAACCTTTTCTCAAACCTCCACGTCGTTGCCCTTGCGTTCGATCCACCATTTTCATATCCCGCTCTACGACATAGGATACAGCTTCAGCTTCAGAATTCAAGTTCATGAGTCTGGTTGTTTCGGGAACGTTATCTGGCGGGCTTTTGATTACTTCCAATCTCTCTCGGAACTTTGACCATGGCCAACGTCCCGCCTTCCTCGTACAGGTCTCTGATAATATCACCGCCTCAAGCTGTACGATTGTGTGCGGATGGGCCTCAATCCGAAGCAGATGACCTCGGAAGCTCGGCGGCTCCAACTCGATTGCTGATTGTCTCTCTTCGGGGATCCGACTCGCTAGCAGTTTCAAGACTCCTATTCTCTACTTCGGCGAGCGCTTCTTGGGGCGCTCGTCGTCGATTTCTTGTTGATGTGCCCTGTTGTTTCGCCGGTCCATTGAATATCTCATGGGTTGTAAGACAAGCTACTCCACAGGTTCATTCAGTCGACACCCGCGTCGGCCGCTCGATCTATCGATGCTGTACTCGTGTTTCTTCATTGGTAAGGTCAAACATGTGCATGACGCTTTGCACCTCCCAGAAAGCATATAAAAGCTCGCATTTCTCTGCGTCGAAAAGTCAGCTCGCCGTCCAAGCACTTAGACGCCCTCAGACGAAAACCAGCCGCCCCGCACACTACGTCGATTTCCGCCATGTTCGCTACCTCCTTCGTCGCTTTCCTCTTCGCCCTCCCCATCGCTCTGGCCATGCCCCAAGGCACCACTCCCCCTCCCACTCCCCCAACTTGCCCCGGCCAGGGTCAAATTCACCCGAACGGCGTCTACAACAAATGCCTCGACGTTCAAGGCGCGCTGTTCCAGAATGGTACTCCTGTTCAGGTGTACGTTTCTTACGCTCTTCATTGGCCTCTTCTTCCTCATCGACATCTCCAGCTACGATTGCAACGGCTCACCGGCGCAGACTTGGGACTACATTCGCGGTAGCACCAAGGTTCAGCTCAGGGGCACCAATTATTGCTTGGATGCTGGATCCTGTAAGTTCCATGATGCTTCGTCTTCGACTGTCTTACTGATCTACTTATCACAGCGCCTGGCAACGGTGTGCATATGAAGATTTGGACCTGCTACGGCGGCCTGTCGGCTCAGCAGTGGTACTACACCGACGATTCCCGTATCGCTCTCCAAGGACAAGGTCAGGACAAACATGCCTCACGTATCATGCAGTTTACTGATCTACCGCCAAACCAGGACAATGCCTTGACCTATCGGGCGGCAACCTCTCGAACGGCAACTACGTTCAGACCTGGCAGTGCGGTGGCGGTAATACCAACCAGATCTGGGTCTGAGCGCCTACACGAGCCCCATCTCCCTGATTTTCTTCACGATCTTTTGATGATTGCATGGACTTCTCATCTGACGGACTCTTACCGGACTAGTCATTTTGTATAACTTACAGACTTGGACTCTTATGGACACTTCTCTGTATTATCTCCTTCGAATGCACCCACTCTTTCACGAATTGTATATTTGGCTTGTGCCTATTCCGAAGCAAGTCACGTCATCCTAACAATAGAGAAGAAGATTTGAATTTGTTACCGGATCAATCCTAGCACCCCCCGAACTGCCGACGTTTCCACTGTTTTGTCGTGCCCCGATACGCATTCGAGGGAGAGCGCCGCAGTGTGGCGTTTCACTAGACTCATTACCATCTTCTCCGTTTCCGTGTCTTCCAGTGTTGGACGGTCAATATGCCAAAGTCAAGGTCAAGGTCAATTTCTTTGACCGAGTCAATTGACGGTCAATGACGGTCAAATTTCTTAGACTTCTGGCCGAGCTATCCCACGCGCCCATGCGCTTACGGGCGTCTACTTGCGCTAGCGCCTTGCATCACTAACCCATGACCGAAAGCTAGAAACAATCAAACGCCACACAGATACGATGCCCGCTCGCATTCTGTCGCGTCGCTTTTGGCACGTAAGATCAGAGTTTCAAGATGCTTTACGAAGTAGTCCCATCTTTCGTTTCCTTACCTCACAAAACCTTGCCTCGCTCGATGGGCCCTTCTTTCTGTAGTGACGTCTGCGAAAAAAATAACTGCGGGCCATGAGAGTGATATCATGTAGTACAATTACAAATGAACTTCTTCCTTCCTTCATCGTTCCTTATGTCAATTTTTCAAACCGAGAACGCGTTCATAGAATGCCAGTTCCCTCTCATATGCGTCTCGCATGTTCGCCTCTTGCCGCCATCCGTGGCCCTCACCAGGGTAGAGCTTGTATTCCACGACACCGCCGCGTTCTTTGATAATCTTGTAGATGGACTCCGCTTGGTCCTTGGGCACGACCATGTCAATCTCGCCCTGCAGGATCTGCACGGAAGTGGCTGTCAGCGCTTATGAAACAGATCTGTGCAAGGAACTCACTAGAAGCGGCGTAACGATCTTCTCCGCGTGGAAGATGGGTGAGCGATCCTTGTACACCTCGTGCACCTCCTGCAGCGCACCGCCCATCAGGTGGTCGAGGTAGCGCGACTCGAACTTATGCGTGAACTCGGCGAGCTTGGCCAGGTCGGACACCCCGTACAGCGATGTGGCGGCGGCGAAGACGTTGACGTCGGAGGCGATCGACAGCGCGGCGAGGGTCGTAAATCCCCCAGCGGACCCACCCCGGATGATGAGACGCTTGGGGTCGATCAGGTTGTAAGGGGCCGCGGCGAGCCTCTGCGGGGCCAGGACGCAGTCCTCGACATCGACGATGCCCCATTTAGTCGACAGGCGTTCGATGTACTTGCGCCCGAAGCCGGACGAACCACCGTAGTTGACGTCGAGCCTAGTGGATGTCAGAATAGATACAGAACGGCATGAGGTCAGACGCACCAGCCCCACCCTCGGGATGTGAAGAACTGCTTTCCCCACGTCAGGCCTTGCGTCGTAAAACCGGTCGGACCTCCATGAACGTTAACGACGCACGGCGGCTTCTCGCCCTCGATGTCGCTGCCTGAGTAGTCGGGGTTGTGTGGAGGGTAGTAAACGACATGGAGAGGAGATCCGGAGACGTCCAAAGTGATGGGCTGGGGTGTTGAGATGATGTTCGACGGTAGTGGGATCCCATCCGCAACAACCGCGAGAGCCGGCTTGAGAATGTTGAACTCCAAACCCCCCAGAGATGTCAAGGAGCACCGGACAATGCTATCTTTCTCGTCGATCTTCTGAGCCGCAAAGACGATCTCCTGTCGATCTCTCGAGACGGTGTGAATGGACTCGGTGATAACATATGGGTTCTCGATCAGCTTTGGCGGGGCGCCGCCTGTCAAGTCAACGAGGTAGATGACATCTCTGCCCTCTTTCAGCCCGGTGAACAGCCCGGTTCTCCCCTCCTTGTCGAGAATCGCATACGGGGAAAAATGTAGCAGCCAGAACGCGTGTCCAAAGTCCTCTGGGATAGGCTCGGGGAGGAGCGGGGTCGCCTTCCCATCCTCGAACTTCCACGGATTAACGAAACCGGACTCGTCCGATGTGAAGATGAGTCTATCGTCGGAGGCCCATGCGGGGTAGCCTGCTCCCGTCTTTTCGCGTTCGCCGGCTATGAGCGTGTCGTTGGCGACAGCAAGCGTTCCGTCCGCCCCGACGACGACGTCTCCGATATGTACCTCGCCACCTTCCCAGGGCATATCGGGGTGGAACCATTGGACCCACGCGATTCGCTTGCCATTAGGCGAGAATTTGGGTATGGCGTAGAAGTCGGCCCCAGAGACCAATGGATGGATCGTCTTCTTGGTGATGTTGATAATAACCAAGGTGGTCACGATCTCAGCAGGTAGGTCAATCGTATGGTCCTCAAGGACCGACACGAGGAGGTGTGGGTCCCCAGGATACGGTTCGAGGCAAGCATATCTATAGGGTTTGTCTTCTTCAGCTCGGAATTAGTGCACCAAACCTCTTTCCTCAACACTATAATGCTCACCAGGAGTGACCGGCTCTGGATCGGCTCCATCGTTAACCCCAACCCGGTGGACTCTTCCATCTTTGAGATGCGAGAAATACGCCTTTCCATCGTGCACAATCGCTGGGGCCCCACCGTACTCCTGCACCATCGTTCTCACGTTCCAACCCGCACCAACGATGTCGCGATTCGAAGTAGTGTGAACGAGGACATTCCGACCCGCCTCGGATGGCCTGCTTTCGAGATGGTAGACTTCCGATGTTACACGATCGACGATAACGTCGGCAATTCCAATAGACTTGTTGCGGAATTTCGTGAGTAAGATATGGCTCCGATAGACGAAGCAGGAAACATACGCCTTTGGTGATGGACTCGGCTGAAATAGGCGAAGCCCACGTTCCGTACGGCGCTTTCGAAGGACCCATATCCTCAGGTGATTGAATTGGGGGCAGCGTAGTGTTCCGCTATGTTGTCGTGATGCTGTCACTCCGCTAAGAGTTGTGAAGCGGACACTTGTTCTCTCTCACCCTTATGGATTCCTGCTTGATTTGAGTCTCACGAAGGCTATAAATATGTGATTTGTCTCACCAAACGATAGGAAAGGATGAGAGTTGCTTTGCGCCGTATGGTACGCAGTACATTTGGTATTTTTCTGGTATCTTTTTTTTTTTCTTTCGGTTTCTTCTCACGAAACACTATCACCCGATAAGATTAGATACGCTAGATACGCGAGACACCTTGTCATTTATGTAAAGTTAATTTTGAGAGCTAGAGTTTTCGGCCACCAAGGTGAAGGAGGTGTTCGACGGAACCGAATTATAAAAGTTGAATTTGCGATTGAACCGCCGACTCGAGTTCGTGCGACTTCGCTGGGCGTAGCTCTGGTCCAACTTGAACAGTACAAAATATAAAAATAATCATAGTCAGTGTTCTTATGAACATATGTGCACTCTTCTTGTCGATCCCTTGACGCCAAGATTTCCAGGCTATAAATGGAAATGAAGTTTGTGGGGATATAAGCGCGACCAACAGGGGATCTACCAAGCTGCTAAATATACTAAGCCGTATAAGTCGTCGTACGTCGAACTCACGTAAGTACTAAAGAAATTATGACCGTAAGATTCGGAATGCTGTCGCTGAAAAGAATGTGCAGTCGTGTGAGGGGATGTGTGCGCCAAAAATTGAATGGATGGGAAATCAGGACCTCGTTTCGTGAAGGAGTAGGGGAGGTGGGAGGATAGGTCCATAAGCATCACCAAGCCGGTGCCCAGAGAGTGGGTGGAGAAACCAATACGCATCGCAGACCTATTCGGTTCAACTTGAACCCTACGCTCTCCCAAGCACGCCAAAATGGGCGCCGACACCTTCGTGGCGTGAGCATGGGAGACTGCTGCGCGCTCAAGAAATGGGGCAGCGCTCTCCGATATCATCAGAATTTTCCACTCGTTTGGGTTCAGGTCTTCTCAATAGCGGGTCTCTTTAGAAATTGGTGTAGGCGCCTTCGAACTCCGATCACAGAAGGAGGGTAAGCTGCAGCTGCTCTGGTGGATACGATAGAGTCGAATTAAACCTGCAAGAAAGAAGACGAATCGCGTTAGATCCATCTCTCCAACCTTAAACAAAGAAGCCGGAGCACTTTACCTTGGCATTGAGATCCTCGCACGTATTGGCGCCGGTTAACGAGATCTGCTCAACTTCCCAAGACGAATCGAGATGTTTGCTCCCTCTGTCGCCAGAAATTGGGTCGCAATCCGATCCTCGAAGTCGATCCCTCTGGGATTGAGGGTATAATTTCGTTTCAAAAGCCGCACTTATACGTGGGCAATTAAATGATCTTGTAAATGCTCATCCTCTGGGTGGTCGGAGTAAGAGGAGATCAAGCATCATGCCGTTGTTGCTCAGACGGGCGACAACTCGCGTCTTCTCGGAGAACGAAATAGAGAGCAACCATGCTTGTTATGTCGCTTCTACGGAGGATTGGTCGGTATCTCCATGCTGCCAGAGCACAAGAGAGTGGCTTGTAGGGATATGGCAACTTTATGCACAAAAAAGGAAAGTAGGTACATGTGCGAAGGAGGACCAGAGTAGAATGTTTCTCCCGCGAGGCATGGTCGTCGGGTTCCGAAGAGCACCTCGATAACTCCTGAGCAGTCGGAGGAAGGAACAGGCGGGACTGCCTTCCGCATTCCTGAAGCTTTAGATAATCGATGTGATACGACTGACGAGACGCCTAGTAACCCGGACACAGGGTGGAAGGGGCCGCCTCAGTGGGAATTTCGAACAGTCCAGGAGCAGTTTGAGGAGACTTCAGAAACTCTGCTGCCGCAGGGGTGGGAGTTGTTTTGAAATAGGCCGGCGAGCATGAGCAAAATACGTTTGTTGATAGGCTCGTCATCATTCGATAAACCTAGCTTCTGGCTTCAATACACATGTCCTTTAGTCCATGATCGCAGATAATGGATATTCCCTATGCTCTTGTGGGCCCATGGGTTTGAATGGGGAAATGTCCAACTAAAACGTCGAACTGCTGCTCCCACTGTACTCGGCGTGAATATCTGAGCAATTTGCGGAGTAGTCGGAGCCCGCCGTACCAACTGACGAAGGCAGTGAGCAAGGCGATAGTCCGGGTGTTCATTTATCACATCCCGTCAGAGACAACGAGGCCAAGAATTTGTTGGAAGAATCAAGATGGAAGTAGGGAGGAAAGAGCCTCTGCGGGCATCATGAGCATCGCTGGTTTGTACCTGTTGTGCGACAACCTTGACCTGTTCTTGGCATGTCGGTCCTCTTTCTTCTTTCCCATGACCGACAACGATGATTCCCTCATTTTGAATTCGAGGCTACTTTAACATCTCCATAAGGCGTCTAAACCTCACCAGTCATCTTAATCGGTCCTCACTTACAGAGGCGACGATAATCGCGACTTTCTCTTATCTTATTGAACATCATTAGCCAGATTTTCGCCATTCTGTGAAATTCTACCGTGTCGATGATAGAAGCTTGGTACCGTGTGGAGGCAGAGCACCTCAGAAAAACGAGCTAGCTACCCGACGTGGTATGTCACTCCACTCCCTGTGAGCAGTAATGCTACAGTTCCCGAGCTGGTTGTCCAGAATATTAATCATCTCTCGAGTCGGCAGATTTTGGCCAAGGTCTGGATGGCGCATTCCTACGTCGAGCTGTCTGTCGGAGTGACGGATGTCGCCTGGCTCAGCTAGGAGGGTGGCTAAGCGCTGCTTGTCAATAGTGCCCAGTGATTCGAGATATCTTTCAGCACGGCTAGGGAGTCCGCACAACAGTGCCTGTCGAACAGATGGTCTACGTAATGACCGTCGGTCTTCGACGTCAAAACTGGGCCTCGTTTTCTCTGAAACAACTGAGTTTATGAACCCCCGGCCTCCCGACCCGCAAGGTGTGGCACTGTCCAGTAGATTGGGTGGGTACCCCCTCTCAAAAAGTTCAAAAAACTGTGTGAACTGATCGCTCGGCAGGACTTTAGCGGAGCTTCCCAAGGAGTGGACTCTCAAAGGAGCACTTATTCCGGTATCGCACACGCAACTTGCTCACAATCGAGCATGGGAGACGGGTACGGAACTGTCAGTGCTTGTACCGATACCCCTTCCGCCATGCGCCCTCTTGGCCTGTCTCTTTACGCTATTTTTATTTTTGATTGGGAACTCTATTGGGAGCTGATCCAATCTTATGGAAAACTGCATGTCGAACGCATTCCCGATTCTACAGAGGCCTGACGTGGGACCGCTTGGTGAAACCTAGTATCATACTTCCAAATTGTCGCCAAATCGCTTCTCACCTAGATCTACCGCGAGGGTTTAAAAACCCTCTCTGAAGATGGGAACCCACAGCAGGTCATTCTCCTTCCTTCCCCAGCTTTATTCATTCAAAGCCGGCGAAATGGATCTCGAGAAGAACATCAAAGACGTAGAGATCGGTGAGTCCCCCAACATTTTCTGCATCGTACATCGCTGACGCGGGCGACGGTAGCCCCTACGATCGTGGAGTCGGCGTCATCGTCTGAGCCGAGCCTGCTCAAACCAAAGCCCGTCGACATCAAGCCTGACCCCAATATTCTTCCAGAGAAGGTTGGGACTAGGGTGACGCGCTACTTGAAGTGTGAGTTCTGCCGTTGTCGCGTGGAGGCCTTCTAATGAACGCATGGCCTTCCTCGACAGTCAGCTTCTTCACGACCTATCGGAAGATCTTCACTGTTATCTTCACGCTGAACATGATCACCTTCGTCGCTTTTGTCGCCAAAGCAAAGGGGACTCCATTTTCCCGGGATGTTGCGAGCGCTTCGTCTGCCAACCTCATGTCCACCATCTTGTTCAGACAAGAGAACTTCGTCAACCTCTGCTACGAGATCGCGGTTTGCGTCCCTCACTCCCTTCCGCTATGGATCAGACGAAGGCTCGCCAAGGTGTTCCACTACGGAGGTGCCCATAGCGGCTCCGGTGTCGCAGCCGTGGTGTGGTTCATTCTTTATGTGGCGCTCATCACGAAGGAGTACATCCATAACCACAACCAAGACACCCTCACCAACCTCATTACTTCCTACATCATCACCGCCATGTTCCTCTTCATTCTCGCCTCTGCACACCCTCGCTTCCGCGTCATGTTCCACGACTACTTCGAAGCCATGCATCGTTTCTCGGGGTGGGTCGCCCTGATCACCTTCTGGATCCACAACGGTCTCGTCGCAAGAACGGAGGCGAGGATGGACGGCGTCCCGATCGGGCTGTACCTCGTCAAGTCGCCCAACTTCTGGTTCTTCTGCGTCTCCACCTGCTGCACCCTCCTTTCGTGGTCGCGACTCCGCCTCCGCGAGGTGTACCCCGAAGTCCTCTCCGACCACGCCGTCCGCCTCCACTTCAAGTACATGCCCATGCAGCCGTTCTACGGTCTCAAGATCTCGACGAAGCCTCTTTTGGAGTGGCACGCGTTCGCGACCATCCCCGATGAGGACGAGAAGGGCAAGATCAACGGGTTCTCCGTGGTCGTTTCCAACGCCGGCGATTGGACACGGAACGCGATCGTAAACCCGCCCAAGAAGCTCTGGGTTCGCGGGTACCCTCTCCACGGTCTTCTCTATACGTCCCGCCTCTTCAAACAGATCGTCGTTGTCGCAACCGGATCCGGTATTGGTCCCTGCCTCTCACTCCTCTACGCCAACGTCACCCCCCGTCGCGTCTTCTGGTCTACCCAACATCCCGAGACGACTTACGGCCCTGGAGTGCTGAACGCGGTGCTCAAGGCAGACCCCGATGCCATCGTCTGGAACACCCGCACCATGGGACGTCCTGACATGGTGGCGCTCACTTATCAGCTCGTTTTGCAGTGCAATGCGGAAGCCGTCTTCATCATCTCCAACCCGAAGCTCACGAAGAAGGTCGTCTACGGTATGGAAACTCGCGGCATCCCGGCGTACGGTGCTATCTTCGACTCTTAATCACCGCTCGGTCTCGGTCGCCGCAAGGCAGTAAAAGCTTCAGGTATGCGATCATTTCCGTCGGGACAGGAGCAAATTCACTGATGAAACTCTCGTTCCAGACCTACATCACCTACATCATCTTTCCTCCGCCAACAGGCTTTGGGATTCGTCATAGATTTTCTTTCCACCATATGTAACTTAAATGACCCGTACCGAATTCGGTCAACGCAATACTACACGAATGTAATCCCCATGCATCTTCAATGACATAACCAATGAGTCTTGGACATCTAGCTCGCTGTCTCCGTCTCCGAAGTGTTTGGGCGCTTAGTAGGCGCCTATTGTCCAGTGCAGCCAAGCGTTCGTAAAACCCCGGACTTAATGGAAGATTAAAAGAATAAATACTTCATTTCATCAATGACGAGAGCAGACTTCGAGATGGATTCAGTTTCAACGAAGATTGAGCACACTTGATGCGTGGTGATATCAAGCCGCCTCCCCATTTGGTATAAGCCCAACAAATCAGAGCCGAGCGCTCCTCGTCTTAGAATGTTATCATCAAACATCATCCTCACTCAAAATATCACAATGAGTCCGAGCGTATGCAGCCTGTTACAATGGCACTTCCACCTCGCGGCCGCCGCTAGAATGTTCCCTTTGTCAAGTCGGCGATGGTTTTTTCCTTTGCGTGGCTGCAACGAATACTCCGCGGACTGAAGCAGATATGCTTTTATTTCAGGGCAGGAGCTGGGCATCGTAGATAAATATCGGAATGTTCCATCCTAATAGGACCGGAAGAAGGTCCTCCAAGTTTAGATTCTTCCCCCGCGTGGCGTCAGGACTCAAGGCGAGGTCATCTGTTACGACTTCGGAAGTGTCTGTAGCAACAGTCTCTCATGATTAGTGGTTTCGTCTGACCGCGAAGCTAAAGGACGAGAATGTGTAATTCTGACTGCAGGTGAGGTAAGTAAATTTAGGCTTTTGTCCTCGGGTAAGCGGGCGATTGCATGAGAGATTTATTGATGAGTTGGTCTTTTCTTAGATCACGGCCTTCATGCGACCAGGTCGAAACAAAGTCTTAGAGAAATCGTGCATAGCACTCACTATACAAGTGCCCTAACTCCAGCCCTTCATGTGGCGAGATATCTGTAGGATGTAAAGACGTTCAATGACACGAAGTTTGGACTTATCAATCGAGAAACGCAAGGCCTTTGGGATACCCTATTCTCACCGAGGGTAGATACCTCCGGTATTGGCCATACCGGAAGTCGTGAAGAGCCTAATCCTGAGCCCACAGACCTCTACTCTTCTGCCATTGTGTCTTGGCAAGTTCTCGGAGATCCCCTTAGGCTACCGAGGAGATACAGGAACAACTGCGGCTTACAGATCGTCGTCTAGTTGTCCTATTCACATCGGGCAGCGCGAAATGGCGTTTCTCTGGAAAAAGGGCGTCCCTTGTGCGATGTTCCGTGGTATAATTCCTCAGTCTGCTCCTTCCTGGTATGGGCCGCATGGTCCCTCTGCATCGCGAGGGAACTTGACCTGCGTAGGAAACCTGAAGGGCGGATTGCCCCACGGCAGATTTATTCATCCATTCCGACTGCTGCTAGCATGAATTTGGTTTAATTAAAAATCAGAATAAACTGAAAATCTAACCCTAGGTGCTGTCTTGTTGGACAAGTTTCGAGGCGTTCGGCATCCGACCCTGACGGAGGTGCTGAGAACGGATCAAGCGTCCATCTTCCGATCATTGGAGGAACCACTCCAAGAAGCTTCAAGGCAATTATGACAAGGCCCCACAGATGCGTCTTTCATAGTTTCCTTCATTTTTTATTTCCGTTGCCGAAACTGTAGACACCTCAATAAATGAATGAAAGAGAACTGAAATCAAGTTGGAAATTGGACTTTTGATTGAAGAGCCAATCATCACGCGAGGGGACACGGAGAAGGCGACCAAATAAACAACGCTATCCTTTCACTTTGGCCATCATGGCGACGGACAACCTTCAGCCCCAACAGCAAGTTTCGTACTCTCAGCGAAGGCGAGCAGACGATCAGGTGGGACCCTTGGCTCCTCGAAAGTTCACCGATGCCCACGAACCAGGATTTGAGGAACGCGAGTATATTCGTGGAAGATTTGGGAAGAAACACGATGATCTAGTTCGCAAATACGGCGCATATAAAGTTATTTATGACGACGAGGCAAGAGTTTCTCGTAAACATGGAAAAATTAATGCGAATGTACTGACTTTTATTTCGCCAGGGCAACCCTGTTGACCTGGCAGAACCCATAGAATATCTAGAGGAGATCGACAACAGGATCTTGCACGCCGTGGCAACAGGAAACACAGGTGAGTCTACATGAGTTGTATGCTTCATATGTTCTTACGGAAACCTTGCAGGCGAATTGGAGGGCCTCGTTCCCACCTCTAGTGCTCTTCTCCAACTTGCACGAGGAGAAACCTCCTTCGTGGCCTCCATGGCAAAACAACTGCGATCGGACCCAGGCGTCCTCCGCGACGTCATCCGAGAAGATGCATACATCCGTAGCGAAACCATCCCGGATGAGAACGGCAACGCACCAAACGTCGAAACCGACATGCTCACCAACGCGAGCTACCTAGCGCAAGAAGTTCGATATATCATCCACAACACGCTCCTTCAGTTGGGCCAGTGGCATCTGGCGTCTGACTACCTGAAAGAGCTAGTGGAACATGACGAGACATACGGCCGTGAAGAACGTATTGTACAACGCCAGGAGTTGATGAACTCGGTCCGTTTTGTGGTCGAACAGGGGATCGAAATCGTCTCCAAGATGGCGGGGCAAGCAATCAGAAAACATCCCAAGTTCGCCAAATTGTGGGTCCGCCTCGTCGTAAGTACTCGTGGAAAAATCTCCAAATTATTCCTCTGACGCATTTATTCAGAACTTTGAGCCAAAATGGACAGGGGCACGGATAGAGGTCAAATCGGATCCCGACTCTCAGGCAGAAATCGACGCGTTTGTTCAATCGCGTACTTTACATGGCGCGCTCTTCCGCATAACTTTGAAGTGGTCGCAATTGGAACAATACTCCCTCATCAAAGACCTTTGCGAACGCTTTGCCAAGACTGATCAGTCGGAACTCGACGAACTCGGTGAACCAATTGTGGAGTCTGTCAGTCAGTTAAAGTCGGTCTTCGTAGGTTACATTTATACTACGTTCGGATTTTTCCATCTTATGATGTCCCGTCTTGACAGGACTTTTATTTGCTTTTGGGTATCCGACAGCCTGAAGACCAATTCCCGGCGGATAAGCGCCTCCGTCACTTTAAAGAGAATTCGGAAACTGCTCAGGGAATCTTAAATAATGCAGCACTCGAGCGCCACATCAAGGGGCTTGATTCCCTCGCCTCTGAGGCCACGCTGAAGAAGATTTGGAGCGAGATCGACAAGCTTTCGCTCAAGAAGTCGAGGCAGACTGTGGAGGAGGTAGGTGTCTCCGTTTAGTGAGCCAACCGTCTGAATCTCGTCTCTAATATGACATCCTGTAGCTTATTGGTTACGAGAAGCCTGCCTCTCGTTGGTACACTCGAATCCTCCCCCGTCGACCGGCCCCTTCATCTTCATCGCAACCCACTCAGCAGCTTCGACAGCCTAGAGAACCCAAGGTCCACCAAATCCACCCAACTGTCGAGCACGAGCCTGTCAAACTCACCCCAGTTTCTGACGTCCCAAGTGCAAAAAATCCGGAGCCAGAAGAACCAGTTACTCGCACTAAACCGAAGGTGAAGACAGTCGGTGTGCCGCATGAACAGCCTGAAGTACCGCTCGAAGAAGAGAAGGTCGAGGAGACCTTGACGGGGGCTGGAAAGGTACTCTTTTATGTGAAGAAACATTACTATAATATCGTCGAGAAGATCTTCAAACCCGGCGCCGTCAAAGGGCAGTTGGACCAGGACGATTTTATGAAGGCAAGCTCCCTGTTATTTAGTGGTCTACCTCTGATTAACCTCTTTCCCTGCAGCTGATGGGACATCTGAACTTCTCGAAGAAACCTGGAAGCGGTTCTCGTGTTACGATGGAGCACGCCAGCCCTTCGAGTAAGATATTTAATAGCACGTCTTCTGCTCTTTTGGTTAACTCGAGTTCCATAGATCAACCGTTCATATTCAAGTTCCAAAATATGTTTCTACCCCCTGCAGTCTTTGAATCAACCCGGCTTTTGTAACTACTGAATCAACCCAGAAATTGAACTACTGATGTAACTAAATATGAAGTACTGATCCAACCCTATACCAAACTACAAATCCAACCCAGGTTCTTGATGTACTGAAGCAACCCTGCTTTTCAAGTTCAATTCTAGCATTTTAAAAGTACTGATACAACCTTTTTTCAACTTGTGATCCAACCCTTATTTCAGAGTGTAACAAAGTACTGGATCAACCCCCATTATGATCCCCTCATTATTCTGCTAGAAAAGTACTGACCCAACCCTCATTATCCTCTAAAAGAAAGTACTGATCCAACCCCCATTATTTTCTAAAAGAAAGTACTGATCCAACCCCCATTATTCTCTAAGAGAAAGTACTGATCCAACCCCTATTATTTTCTAAGAGAAAGTACTGACCCAACCCTCATTATCCTCTAAAAGAAAGTACTGATCCAACCCCCATTATCCTCATAAAAAGTACTGATCCAACCCTGCTTTTTTCAATTTCCTAATTGGGATGTCTCTGATCAACTGCACACAGCTGTGATCTTGTGCTACCTTGATCCTCTACCACCACCATCTCTGGCCTTCAATATGGGTAGAACTAAGAAGAACCCAAAGAAGAGAGCAGTAAGTGTGATAATTTGATATCTTTTGTCTTAGATCTACATTAACCAATAACATAGCTTTCCACATCAATGTCTGAAGATGCCAGTCCACCTAAGATCAAAGCCAGTAATCAAGATGATGCTAAGAGCTCTAGATGTTCTAAGAAGGTTAGAAGTAGATTCCCTTCTTGATACATCATAGATCTAACTCATTTCCACTAGAAAATACACTATCAGGATAACGATTCTGACGACTTCCTTTCTGACAACAACATTAAAGCTAAGAAACCTGGTCCTCCTCAACAGGTATGGTTTATATCATTGATCCTTGAATCTTTCTCTGATAAATCCATATAGCCAACCCGCAAGAAGCCAGGCCGTCCATCAAAGAAGGGCCAGGCAATCAGAACTGATCCACTTCCTGATCAAGATACTGTCATGTCTTCCCAATTTCTTCAGCCTCTCACACCTCTCCAGAAGGCCAACAAGAAGGATCCAAATGCTAACGAGTACACTCCACGTACTGTGCAGGCTGTCCGGTTCAGCATGCAAATACCTATCTGGCAGATTGAAGTGTCTCATATACCAAAGAAACAGCCACGTCACGGAACCACAGAGTCACCAGATATGAGGCCACTGAATAGGCTCACCCGGTTAGAGAAGGATGGATGGACATGTCTTGGAACAACACCTACAGCAAATGTGTACAGGCTGTTCCAGGATTTTGTGATTCTTTATGTTTTATATTATTATGATACTTTTACTGATTTTTTCTTGCTTTTTACAGGAGAATGACTACTCACCTCAGGAGTACAAGATCTCCAGTGGTCTCATCTCTATGCAGTTCTTTGGTCATCCTTGTGATCGGCCTAAGGACATACGTGCTCGCTCCTTTCTTCTTGAATGGGCAACTCAGGATCGCAAAGTTCCATCAAAGTACAAGGATAAATCTCGACCTGTTTTCTGTGTTGAGTATCAATGTCTTGGAAGTTGCAATGCTGAAGCACCTCCTGCAGAATCAGATGAGGATGTGAGTGAAGAAGAGGAGGAGGAGGAGGAGGATGAGAGCAATTCAGAGGATGAGAGTGAGAATAATCAAGAGGAAAGTAAAGGTGTGGATAAGCAGCTCAGAGGAAAGTGTGTCAGAGAAAGCAAGATCACCAATATCAAATCGGCGTCCATGAGATTTGAATGGCTCATAGCAAGAAAGACTATCTTGCAGATCATGATAGGTTTTCTTAAACACCAGCCAGTGGTTGTTGTAGTGGTTGAAAATCAGACAATGTTGAAGATTGATAGACCGACTCATTGTCCAAGAGCGGCCAATCAGAGAGTCCTCCGCAATTATATTCTGGATATTTGACATTCAGTAACATTTAAAAAAATGAATAAAAAGTGTATACATCACCAGAAAGCCCAACAGGGATAGAGTCAGTCAGAGTCCAGTCAAGTTTAGCAAGTTGTTGTGCAGGAAAGGCATATGTATCAGGAATAACCAATGTTGACCCCAAGATTCCAGTATTGATTGAGTTGAGCAAGTCCACAAAAAGAGAGATTTCATCCTGGCGGAGCATATATGTGGAATTGTTCCACCGACTGAAGTCTAGATCACTAAGCTTCTGCTCATCAAGAAGATCTGCCTCCTAATTAAATAGTAAGTTATAAAAAGGTATCTTAGCTTAGCACGTACTTCATTAGCTGTTGGAAGAAATTCTCTGATTCGTAATTTTTTGGGGGAAAAGTTGACTGGCTTGATGGGAGAGTTTGGAAGAGAGGGCAGAAGAGAATTGTGTGGCTTGGGCTTAGGTCCTGTTTTCTGACTGAACTTAACAGGTGTGCGATTTGGATGAAGTGGTGTGACAGCAGGACGTCTGCCTGCTGTTACACCTCGGCCTAAAATTGCATAAGTAAAGCATTGATTTTGAAACAAGTAATAAACACACCTTTTTGAGGAGTTTGAGGATGCTGAGACACCAGAGCTTTATTGGCCTGTTTGGTTTTGATATCAGAAATTGGACTTTCAGCCAAAGACTTAGAATCAGAGTCCTCCTCTTCCTCCTTCAAACGCAAAAAGATCTTCTCCAGATCTCTAGTAACTGTTGCATCAGAAGCAGCTTGATGACGCCGGCCTGTCTTTTCCTTGATAGGATTTCGTGTCTGGCCCTTTGCAGCTGGTCCACGAAGTTTCTGACTAGTTTCAAGCTCTAAAGGATCATAAGTCACATTAATAGAGAAATAAAAAGAATATAGCAGACCAATATAGTCCTTTACTGATCCATGATCAATCTGCAGTCTGACTGCCAAGATGTGATAGCAGGCCTTTCCTGTCTGATCAAATGGAGAACAGGTGCAAGAAAGAGAACCATCTTTCTCTTCAGTTACAGTAGCATAGCACAGAGATGAAGCTTTTGGAGGCATAGCAGGATGTTGTGTGCAGTATAGAAGAAGATGGTGGTAGTAAATGGGAGAGATGTCCTGGCCCATCTAATCTGATCAGCCAATCAATAGGTCTGTTCTAAATATAGTAATTAAAAAACCTGGGTTGGATCAGTACTTTCATAACCCAAAATCCAGGTTGGATCAGTACTTTCATAATCTAAAGTCCAGGTTGGATCAGTACTTTCATAAATCAAGAATCCAGGTTGGATCAGTACTTTCATAAATCAAGAATCCAGGTTGGATCAGCAGTTTCATAACCCAAAAATCCAGGTTGGATCAGCACTTTCATAACCCAAAGTCCAGGTTGGATCAGCACTTTCATAACCCAAAGTCCAGGTTGGATCAGTACTTTCATATACCAAAAATCCAGGTTGGATCAGTAGTTTTATAAACCAAAAATCTGGGTTGGATCAGTACATAAGAAATGCTGAAATTGTAGTTTAATCTGGGGGTTGGATCAGAACTTCTTAAATCCAGGTTAGATCAGGACAATTATCCCAGGTTGATTCAGTAGTATCAAAATGGTTGAATCAGTAGTTTTAATGTCTAAAACCCAGGTTGGATCAGTAGAATTTATACATGCTGGATCAGTACTTTGAAAAGCCGGGTTGATTCAAAGACTGCAGGGGGTAGAAACACATCTTGCTTTTGAGTACGAGGCTGAGCACCCGGAATTGAATCTTGTCTTCCACCAGGTGAGTCCCGTGGGCGCTTTACTACATCGCCTATTTAATTAAAGGATTCTTGTCAGGCAGGCGATTCAGCCATCCTGGTCGAGTTCGGTACTATGACTCTTGACATGTTCTGTCGGGCCCAAATCCAAGCCTTTCAGGATGCCGTTCTCAGCCGACAGGTTCCGGGCGTGCATTCTTTGTGCACTTGTATACGGTCGATCCTAGTGCGTTGGCATTTCCGAATATCAGCTTCTCGTCGATTTTCTAATGTCCCGCTGTGAAGTGTCGCTATGATCCCTTGGTCATATCACAAGATATATTCCTTCAGGTCCTTCTCGAATTAAAAGAAGAGATTCCTCTCAGCTTGCGCGCTGTCAAATTTCATGGAAGGCGAATAACATTTCCCATTGTTCTCGATGACCCGTGGAATAAAGAAGCGCTTCGCCGCTATATGTCTACAACTCGAGACAAAGCGGTCTATCTTCCGAGTAATGTTGAATACCTTGCGCGGAACAACGGGCTATCGAGCGCGGCAGAAGCTCTTCACAAGTTAGTAGCCTCTGATTGGGTCCATCCCTGTCTTCGTCTCATACCCGAATTTTCGCTGAATCTCCCTCAAGCTTGTTTTTGGTGTTGGCTTTTATTTAGCGTGCCCGTTTCTTGTACCAGTAAGTAGAAAAGTGGTCTTCATTCGGCCACAGTCATGTAGCCCGTCTCACGGATTTACTCTATAGATCGATCCAAGATGCCAATTGATTGGTCAAAAGATGAACCCATCGAGAACATGGACACCACGGGTCAGCGAAGCTTTACGTCTCTCATGTTACACCTGACAAATCTATGGCTAGGGCGCCATCGGTATTGCTGGTCCTGTTGCGGCTATCTACCCTATCAAATTGCCTGGAGGTTACCAGCTATACGGGCGCACTCTTCCAGCCTGGCAGACGTGGGGGAAAGGGAAAGATTTCTCTTCCACTCAGCCTTGGCTCCTGTGAGCATTTGATCAGGTGCCCAGATCCTGCCTTGTACTAATTACAGTGGATAAATTTCTAATAAGCTGCAGGTTCATTTCACGATCGTAACCGAAGAGGAATATCTGGAGGTAACTTATCACTTTTTGACCTTGTAACGCTAATGGCTCATCGGCCTCTCTTTGCAGATCGAGAAGAAGTTCGATGCTGGCCAATACACGTTTAAGGTACTCAAACTCAAAGCAGTCCATTTATTTTTCATGCTGGTATATCCGATATCTCTACCACAGGTAGAGCACGTGATATTTTCTTTGGAAGATTATTCGAGGTTTTTGTTATCGGTTGAAAGCGAATTGGAGGACTTTCGCTCCCGTCAGAGTGAGGGCAGTCGAGCCGAAGAGGAAAGGCAAGTTTTGGAAACCTCGATATTTTCCATGGTCTTTTGACAATGTTTTTCAGGGAATTACAACTACTTCATGAATGGGAGCAAAAGAAGACAGACGCAGGGACTCGAGGAACTAATGACCAAGGGAAGTTTGTTATGATATGCGCTTTATCCTATTCAGTTAGCCTGATTATCCGTCGAAATGCCAGATTCCCTAGAAGCGGAAGGCGAGACAACAATCACGGCACCACTCTTCGCTACAATTTGGAGGGTAAACGTCAAACCTGGTGATGTCGTTAGATCGGCTTCTGACACTATTGTCATTCTCGAGGCAATGAAAGTCGAGGTTCCAGTAGAAGCTGGAGAGGCGCATGTTGGAAAGATCATCAGAGGATTTGGTAAAGGCATCCAAGAGGGCGCTTCCGTCCGACCCGGGGATATTATTGTCGTCTTTGGGTAACTCAACACCACAATAGTGAGACCCTCTATCATTTTACTTCGAGTTCATACTATCTGAATGAATGATTCCGACTGCGGTCCCAGTGGGTGGTAGATGCGATACAAAGGACTCTTTGACTAGAGCACCCCCTTTGTTCTTGAAGCTTGAACGACGTATAAAATATGGCCCTACCGAGCGAAATTTCAGCCTCAAGGATTCTTCCTAACCCCTTTGACGATCTTATAACTTTAACGGTGTCCTTTCGTTGATTAATCTCGCAATGCACGTCTCCATTGGCATGTCACAAATGCCATGGGTGAGTGTCGCTCAACTATGTGGGCGTGAACCATGTGGTATATTTTAAAACTAATTTCGAATGAATAGATGCAGTCCAGCTTCTCTATTCTCGAGTCGTTTATTTACGCATCGCCCCCAACGCCGTGCGCATGCATTCCCAAACTTCTTTAGGTCTTGCCCATGACATGTATGTCGCATCCTTATGCTTTGTTTTTTTTCCCCACATGCACCATTAAGATTGGCTTTCATTCTCATCTAGGCGTTTCTTCTCTCGCTGTGAGAAAATAGTTCCACGCAGCCAGCTTAAGCGCCTTCTTGTCTTGGCCACCGGGGTTGAAACATTTTGTCCCACGGTGTGTGTTCAAAAGCGCGTCCAACGCCTCCGACTGCATTTTTCTTCCCCTCCCTCCTCTTTCCCTGTTCGAGATCATAGGAAGTGTGTGAACTCTCGAACCACGTCGATTTATTTATCCAGAATGAACTCCTCTAACTCGAACGTGCAAGACTTGATAATGGCTGGCTCCTCTTCGTCCTCAGAAACAGCCTGCCACAATGGGTGAGCAATTTAACACGATGAATAGGCCATGGGCTTCTTGGCTGACAGTACACAAGAATTGGTCTGGATTTCCTTATGATGACAGATGCCGACGCGACATATCGAAGTTCTTCAGCCTCTTCGATGGCGAGCTTCATGAACCCATGGTACCCACATTCCTTCGACTTCAGCACAACAGAATACCCTCAGCCGCCTCTTCCACCTCCTTTGCTTCAGCCTGTGGTAAATCAATCTCAAGGGAAGGACTTAGCACTGGAAGGGAACAAGATCAATGTTATGCCACCGTACCTCAATCCCGTGTCCAACACGATCAGCCTTGCGGCATTCAATTTCTCCCCTCAACCTTCTTTCGCCACTCATGCGTCATATACAGCTTCTGAAAGTGATGGGGAAGCTGCTTTAATATTCCCTGACATCTACTCTGGTTCAATAAGGAGTTCCCATAGTTTGATATTCTCAGAGGAGAGATCAGCGTATGGGGGCCGCACAACGCCTTCACCTTCTCAGCCTCTTGAGGGGACTAGTTCCTCATGGAATCCGACACCAAATTCTTTTCATAAGGTCTCCTACAATTTTGAGGAAACCACATTCCACTCCGATACTCATCATCGACGTGGGGGGACGAGCATGTCTTCAACCCCCAGAAACCAGGATTTTCGCGAGCCGCACCCTTCGGTGTCATATTCATCCCTTCCAGCTTCGGATTCACAGCAGCTATACACTGCAGCTGTCGACCATCTCTTTTCTTTGGAAGGAGAACTGTCTCCCAGCTCTTTCTTGTCCTCAAGCTACGCATCTTCAAGTCCCGGCCCAAATCATGCAATCACAGCTCTCATGGACCAAGGGATGCCAAGGTGTTCAGTTCATCAGATGGAGCACCTGATTCCAAACCAATTAGAGCATGCATTCGCGCTGTCATCTTCACACATGAACCAGGGAGGACATGAGTCTAGGTTCTCTTCAGCCAAATCTTCTGCCTCCCATTACCCCCACTCTCGACACTCGGATTCTTTGTCCAGTGCATCATCTACAACACCTACAAATTCAAGACGAAGCGACCAGCACGCTTCTACTACTTACACGGCTACTCGGGCACTGGAAGGGCCGTCGACTAAGGCATCCACAGTCCGCACCAAACCGACAGAGAAGAAGTCAACATTCCCTGCCTGTGAGGACCAGTGAATAAAGGTGTTCTTTTTCTGTTGTTGGGGTGACTGCGACTATATTTGCGATGGTCCACGGGATTTCAAGAGCCACCTGCAAGAAGAACACGGTCTCAGTGTTGGTTATTCGAGGACGACGAACGTACAGTGCCTCTGGAAGGGATGTGGGGCAGAGCCTCATGCACACATGCAAGAGCTCTTTTGACACCTGTGCACGGTGCTCAAAATTGTTGTGAAATGTACTAAGTGTGGACAGAAAGTGCGGGATGAGAACTTCGATCTTAGGAACCACTTGAAGCGGTGCTACAAAGGGGTGCCACCTGAGGCGGACAAGACAGATGTCTGGGAAGAAGTCCTCGAGGAAAGCAGCGTAAAGTCGTGTCAGAAGCGAGTGTGTGCTCATTAGTTATTAGGCTTGTGGAGAATCACGCTTTACTCGGACAACAATTTTGGATAGTATGCGAAGGCACTTATATGACACTATTTAGGGCCTGGGATTCATCGCTCCGTGTTCTACCATTCTTAGGGGCCGTTTACGTTTATAGATTATACACGTCCTGTTTTACCAACATTTTATTTTCATGTGAATTTCATTAGTAATTTGTCAAGAGCTTCCTCATCGTGAACACGAGGTGCACAACATGTTATATGCCTTGGGTTATGGCTGTATCTTCTTCCACATGAACAATGAAGGTGAGCAGGACGTATCTCTGGATGCCATCTTTAGAAAACACTAAGAGTCGAGGGTAAAGTGCATGAATTGCATGAGGGTCGTACCTCCTGAGATAGAAAAAAGACATAATATTTTTGCCATGTACATGGGTTTTTGCCAACTTATTACAATCATCTCTACTCATGTACCGTTTCCCTACTGCCTCGAGTCACAATTGGGTTCCACGATGTTATAGTCCGGATTTGCGAGTGCAACCTTTGACCTTCATTAAGGTGCCATGGATAAGTATCCCCTTCCAGTCAGCCCCAGGTTGATGTAGTGATACCACTGTCGCTCAAGCTTTAGCTTTGCTGCTGACCTGTGTGGATAATACAAAAGAAAATTAAGTTTCTCTGGGAAGTGATTATGAAGAACTGTCCTTGCAATTGAGGTGAACCGGTTGTGGCTCAGACCGGTGGGGCACGTGTCCGCCAGCCAATCAAACGACACGTCTCATCTTCCAACCTCAAACCTCCATCACAGAACCGGCACTCAGACTGGCAATAGCAACAGCAATCATTGTCCAGCAGCTCCTAGATGTCCACCAGAAGCCTCTTCACATCCCTACCAAAGTGAATTTTCACAGTACCTGGCAAGGTTGTTTGGTTTTTCCTTCCAACACTACCTATTGCTGGTTATTGTCGTGGTTGCTGGGTCAGGGATGGAGGGCGACGGGCTAGCATTCACGGAGTCAGCGACTGGTGCAAGCTGTTGTGGTGAGTATTGGGATTGAGTTTGGTTTGTGTCAATGGCAGGTCTCTGTACCCTGCTGAGACCGCTGACCTAGCCTCAATACAAGACGACGGCGTTCAAAGTCTGTGTTGTACAGGATGGTGGCCGAGATGCACGGCTCAGGCCTGCATCGACCAAAACCTTCACCAAACGATCAAAACTCTGTCGGCAAGGGATAGCCTTGCTTGGTTGGTGACTGTGTCGTCCATCCGCATATATGCGGTGGACTTGCCTTGTCTGCTGCGTCAACCCTCTCTAGCGCAACGCCCAGTGAGGATATTGTTGGGATCAACTACCGTCCGAATGGCAGCTGGAGCGAAAGATGCTGTTGAAGTCGTTGCCAATGACCGCAGCGAAGGGTGGCTGAGCATTGATCAACTTGTGTTGGGTATGCTATGGAGGTGGTACAGCCACGCTCCGCCTCATTTGACTGTCCACAGGAAGCATCTTCTCAATACTTGGAGTTCTTATTGTGGATGGGGCTGGCACATGTAGATGACAATGGGACAGTTGGGGTGCTTGTGTCCCATGGGCGTTCATTGTGATTGGTTGATCCTGGAGCCCTTTTGGACGGTCAGAAGTGCCATGTGCAGAGCTGCTGACAGCTTTCCGTGCAGGATATTTTGTATATGCGTCAGGGTTGGGGATTGAGAACTGAATGTTCACCATGAGCCTCAAGTCCCCATTCGTCAACTGTGATGGACCAGACATCTGGGATAGGATATTGCTTTCGTGGTGTCACCTCCCCAGCATTCTTCTCCATGCTGTGTTGGGGATGAGATGCAGGTCGTCCAGTGTCTGTTTGGTTGTCAAGGTTGCAGCCTGTGAGCACGTATCTGGAGAGTGTGTTGTCAGAGTCTCTCTCAAGAGGATATGTCATCAGTGCACTCATCACAGTGTGAGGCGATATCCTAGCCTCATGGGAGAAGATAATACTCCAGGTAGGTAAGCTACGGCATATCATCTCATACGATATAGCGGGCCTATACATTGTATTGTCTCAACCACACTGCGCGGTCTCCAGCGGACCTGCCTTATATAGTACATATACATTGTATCGTCTGATCCCTAACTAGCGGGCCCGCTCGTTCTGCCAACTAATGCCTAAGAATCAACCGGCATGGCTTTATCGGCAGTCCCGACACAGTCTCGGGGCATGCACGGCATGCCGATAAAATGGCCGGTTGGGCCTCGGCATGCCAAGCATCAATAATGCCGATGTTGAGGATGGCACACCCAGTGCCCATTGACCGACTTCTGAAAGAATGGTGCATGGGATCAGCACCCAATCACCAATCCCCAGGCATGGCAATGCAGTCCTGACACAGTCTTGGGGCATACACGGCATGCCGACAAAATGGCCAGTTGGGCCTCGGCATGCCAAGCATCAATAATGCCAATGTCGGGGACGGCACACCCAGTGCCCATTGACCGACTTCTAAAGAATGGTAACTTTGCAATAAATACATTACAAAAATTTTAACCAATCTCAGACTCAAAGAACTTCGTCGCGCTTCACAAATGTCTTTATAAATACATCTGTTATGCAGAAGTGACTCTGAAACAGGCAGGGAATAGTGTGCACAGTGGGATTTGATGCGCTTCACCCAATTAGGCAGAATATTGATGCCTGCACATCTGTGCAGAATTCTGGCTTCCCCTCACATTACTTCGCTTAGTGTTGGCTGAGTGAAATGTTGGATACATTGATAA